TCTGAGAGAAGCACTTTTGCAAAGACGAAATTGTTAAAAGTTTTACATTTGATGTAAATGAATATTTTGCGAAGAGATGTAAATAATTGGAGAAGAGTTTGAGATTAAATAATTAAGATCACAGATACAAGGCCGGGTGCAGTGGCTCATGCCTGTAATCCTACCACTCTGGGAGGCTGAGGCGGGAGGATCGTTTGAGCTCGGGAGTTCGAGACCAGCCTGAGGAAGAGTGAGACCCCATCTCTGCTAAAAATAGAAAGAAATTAGCTGGACAACTAAAAAATATATAGAAAAAATTAGCCGGGCATGGTGGTGCATGCCTGTAGTCTCAGCTACTCGGGAGGCTGAGGTAGAAGGATCGCTTGAGTTCAGGAGTTTGAGGTTGCTGTGAGCTACAGCTGACGCCACGGCACTCTAGCCCAGGCAACAGAGTGAGACTGTGTCTCAAGAAAAAAAAAAAGATCACAGATACAAAGCAAATGAAAACAAAAAGAATTTTAAAGATAAAACAAAAAGTTGTGCAGTAAACACATGGTTTATTATGCTTATCAGGGAGTAGCTTTACACAGACATTTGAATGTAAATAGTTCATATTGCTCTAACCAAGATTCTAATATGACTATATTCAAAGAGCAAGTGTGTGTGATGTGGCTAGAGTGAGGAGAGATAGATAGATATTCATCTTCCACAGTGGAGAAGCAATAGATAACGGTTGAAACTCATAAATGAAGAAGCCACACAAGCATGCAGTTTAAAGACATGTAGGTAGATACAAAAATAATCAGCTCAATGAGGTGAAAGTGATTGCCTCTCTGGAAGAGGTCTAGGGAGAAGAAAGAGGGGAAACTGCAGTTTTTGGAGACACACTATTAATATTTGATCCTTTATGTACATGCATACCTTTGATTTAAAAATAAAAATTTATTTACTGAGGGTCTTTGTGTGTAAAGAAAAAAATTTAAAAAGAAAAATTTATAATAAAATGCCATATTGGTCAAGAAACTTACGAGTTGTGGGAGGTAAAAAAGCTTTTTCTCTGAAAATTTCTTTTAAAAAAATCAACAAAAAGTGTAGTTTGTGATACTGAATGAATTGATAGAAATTAAAGGAGATCTACTAAAAACAGACAGAGCAATAATTTTTTGTGGATTGCAAGAGCCACTGTGACTTGTCAATTAACAATAATTAATTGTCACTATTGTCAATTCTCCAAGCAGTAGGTGCTGTAGCATCAGGCCCAGTGTCTGCTCATTCGTTACCTAGCTGCTGAGAACACTGACGGCAAGACAGCTCACATGAGTCACTGACTGCAAACCGCTCACATGAGAACACTGACTGCAGGACAGCTCACATGAGAACACTAACTGCAAACCGCTCACATGAGAACACTGACTGCAAGACAGCTCACATGAGAACACTGACTGCAAATGGCTCACATGAGAGTCCCTGTCCTAGTCCTGGTGCTGAGAGCTGCTTGGCCCAAGGTTACACCTCCTCCCCAGGGGAATCCTGCATTTAATGATGTCAGTGATTTGGGCGGGGATGGGGGTGGGGGTGGGGGGCTTATAAAGGACGACTCTGAAGGGCCATCCCAGTTGCAGAGCTCCCTGAGAAGCTGGCTGAGAACTCCGTTGCAACTGCCTTGCAGTTTAACTTCTCCTTATACTCAATTCTGCGTCCCTCACTCCATTCATTACAGATACAGTTCTACAAGCTTTTCCCAGTAAACCTTCTGCATGTAATTCTTTGTCTTAGAGTATAACAGAGATCCTAACCTAGGAAATTCCCCCACATTGGTCTATAGAGTCCATACAATCAAAATCCTGCAGTCTTTCTTTAATAGAAGTTAACAAGTCGATTCTAAACTTTATATGGAAATGCGAAGGACCCAGAATAGACAAAACTTTTGAAAAATGACAATGGAGTTATATCCATTTGTACAAAGACTTGTATAAGAAATTTCATAGCAGCTTTATTTGTTACAGCCCCAAACTGGAAAACCCCAAATGTCTAATAATAGGAGAATGAATAAACAATGGTGACGTATTCATGCAGTGGAATACTACTACTCAGCAATAAAAAGGGTTGAACTCCTAATACCTAGAACAACTCTCACAGACATAATTAAAGAAGCCGGACCCAAAAGAATACACACTGTATGATTCCATCTATGTGAAGTTCAAGAACAGGCAAGACGAATCTATACTGACAGAAGGCACAATAGTGATTGATCCCAGTGGGTTAGGCGAAGAAGAGGGAACTTAATACGGTGAAGGAATGTGTCCTATGTTGGTCTGGATGATGGTGACAAGGACATATACATTTGTAAAAACTCATTAAACTGTACACTTAAGATCTATGGATTTTATTTCAGGTAAATGAGAGAGAGGGAGAGGGAGAGGGAGAGGGAGAGAGAGAGAGAGAGAGAGAGAGAGAGAGAGAATAAGTTTAAAAAAATAGAATGGTAACTATGTGGACAAGAACTTCCAGGCTAGGATTTTGTACATGAAAATTGCTTTCTATGTAAGCAAAGCCATTTATTTCAATGTTATACGGTTTCTCTTCTTAGTAACCTCTAGGAATATGCCATTGATAGAATTACAAAAAAATTTTAGACTCAAATATATATTTTCTGTGCATACCTCCTCTTAATTTAATTTATTCTGAAGTTTTTGGGATTTTCAGGGTTTTTTTTTTACATGCTGAGTCTAAAATATACTTATCTGCTCTAAATGACCTTTTTTGGATTTTGAACATAAACCCCAGCTAGAGTTTGGTGACGTTTGAGGAACAAGCCCATATTTGCCCATATACACTTCAGTGATTGTTTACGACTGTCACTTCCACACCTCTCAACTGTGCCATTCCAGATTACAGTTGTAAGATATCCAATTTCATCTTCATTAGCTCACTGCTGCCTACATCACAGGTGTGGGGTATTAAGTATCTATTTCCTGATATTTGCTTTTGCCTCTTTCCATAGTACTAATACTAGAATGTCTGGTTTTTAAGAAACAGATGCTTGACTGGTTTAAGCCACAGTTATTGAGAGACTCTATAACTCATAGCTAAAAAATCAGTGCAAATTAACTCACCGCTGCAGTCATTGCTGTTGCCCTCCACATGTTTTTCCTGAGCCTGATGCCACCTCTGATGCCCAGGTGACCAGAATTGAGTGCAATCAACTTCTCATTCAGATGGCACCCTATGTCTTTGTTGAAGTCTTCCGGGCTCTCAATGTCTTTACCCTTCTCAAGCTCCTGTCTGTGGATGTATCTTCAAATTCATGCTTTCAAAGTAGTCAGTAGAGAGGGTTTTTTTTTTTTTTCCTTCAAATGTCCAAGGAGGGTTTTTGTGCAAAAAATGGATTATGGAGAGTTACTAGCCATTAAAATAATATTCCATTTTTTAAAGCTTTATGTTTAAAAACATAGATTTTCTTAAACTTTTTATTTTAACTTATAAATCATACTATTCTACTTTACATACAGTAATTTTTATATAAATTAGAAACAATAACTTTAGCTTGCTCTATGATTGTTTAACTAAATCAAGTCTAAGAGATTAAAATTCCAGAAACATTGGTACCACCTAAAATCATTAGTAAATTCCCAACAATGTTTAAATTTCCTTCATAAATGTCATTTATTTTAATTTTTCAAGCACTTCATGTGCCTGACAGGACAGAGTTACAAACCTAACAAACCTTTATAAGCACTAAAGAAATTCATAGAAAAAACAAAAATATCAAACTTATAAGGTAGTAAATTAAATTCTTTTAAACATCCCAAAGTGATCGACATATTTAACCCAATTCTCATAAACTTTTCAACTTAAAATCCAAAGTTTAATATCAATTACACATTTTAATTTGAAATGACATGATGAATCTATTAGATGCTCTTAAACATTAAAGCTACTTTAATAACAAATACTTAGATATTGGCTACATTTAACACGAAATATTATTATGGGTTTGATTTACTTAATCATGGTTATACGTCTTCCTTGGATTGTAGAATCTCTCACCCAACCTTAGTAATACAGACTAGATTACAGGAGAGCTGAGATGAAATAAGTCAAAGGTGTAGGACAGCAAAATAATTATCTGCAGGTCAGATATTTGAGTCCAAGACACAGGACCTGGTTCCAAATACATCATGGATAATTCTGCACCAGCCACAACTAAAAACATAGAACTTTGTGTTTGCTATTTCAACAAGGTGCTCCCAAACCCCTCAGGCAGGATTTAGTTTCACAAATAATAAATTATTGAATCATTTATTCAACAAGTATTTACTGAGGGCGTGGAATTGAATGAGGCAATGTTTGAGACGCTTGGGTGCAATTAAAGATCAAAACAATGTTTTTTGCTTTCCCAGCGATCAAATTTTGATTAAATTTTAGTGGGGACAAAAGGGGAAGCAGACAATAAAATAATTATGTAATAAAGGAGTAAATTATTTTGTTTTAGACCTTAGATAGTTTGGCCAGGATAGACCTCACTGAGAAGGTGACATTTAGCAGACTGGAAGGAGCTGAAGGAACCAGCCCTGCAAATGTCTAAGGGAAGAGTGTCCTAGCAGAGGAGACAAACAGTGCACAGGCTCCTGGGCAGAAGCTTGCTTGTCATGCCTGCAGGACAGCAAGGAGGACAGTGGACTGGAGAAAAACGAGCAAGGGGTACAGTGATAGCAGATGAGGAAAGAGAGTGGGTAAAGGGAACAGATTGTGAAGGCCTTTGCAGGCCACTGAGCAGAGATCTGCCACGATCTGACTTTTTTTTTTTTTTAAGACAGAATCTTGCTCTGTCTCCCTGGGTAGAGCGTAGTGGTGTCATCACAGCTCACTGCAACCTCAGACACCTGGGCTTAAGTGATCCTCTTGCCTCAGCCTCCTGAGTAGCTGGGAGTATAGGAGTGTGCCACAATGCACAGCTAAATTTTCTACTTTTAGTAGAGATGGGGGTCTTGCTCTTGCTCAGGTTTCGAACTCCTGAGCTCAAGCAATCCTCCTGCCTTGGCCTCCCAGAGTGCTAGCGTTACAGGAATGAGCCACCCCGACTCATGTTTTGAAAGGATCTGTTTAGCTGTGATATGGACAGCAGACTGTAGCATTAAGACTGGAAGGAGGAAGACCACGCAGGAAGCTGTATTAGTTATCTGTTGCTGTGTTAACAAATACCCTAAAACCTAGTGGCCTCAAATAACAGCATCATCTCACTGCTTCTGTGAGTCAAGAATCTGGGCACAGCTTAGCTTGTTCCTCTAGCTCAGGGTCCCTCACAGGCTGCGGTCCAAGTGTCAGCCAGGGCTACAGTCATCTCAAGGCTCGATTGGGGAAGGATCTGCTTCCAACTTCACTTGGGCAGTTGCCAGCAGGATTTGGTTTCTTTAGGGCTGTTGTACCACAGGCTGACTCTGTTCTTGTCTGGCCAGCTGCCCTCATTGCCACATGGTCCTCTGCACAGGGCAGCTCACACCATGGAGCTTGCTTCATCACAGCAACCAAGCAGAGAAGAGGGGTTGGGGGAGAGAAAGAGAGAAAGGCAGAGACAGAAAAAGAGAGGTGTTAGTCTTTTATAACTTAATCTCAGAAGTGTATCCTATGGGCTGGGCACAGTGGCTCACGCCTGTAATCCTAGCACTCTGGGAGGCTGAGGTGGGTGGATTGTTTGACCTCAGGAGTTCGAGACCAGCTTGAGCAAGAGTGAGACCCGGTCTCTACCAAAAATAGAAAGAAGTTAATCTGACAGCTAAAAATATATAGAAAAAATTAGCTGGGCATGGTGGAACATGCCTGTAGTCCCAGCTACTTGGGAGGCTAAGGCAGTAGGATCACTTGAGAACAGGAATTTGAGGTTGCTGTGAGCTAGGCTGACGCCACAGCACTCTAGCCCAGGCAACAGAGTGAGACTCTGTCTTAAAAAAAAACAATAAAATAGCTACCCTTCTCTCCTACATCAATTTCACCCTAGCACTCTCTATTCTTCTGCTTTTTCTCAGTGGCACTTACCGCCATATGCAACACTGTATGTTTGTTTATTGTCTCTATCTACCCAATAGAATGAAAACTCCATGAGGGCAGAACTTTTGCCTCTTTTGTTCACTGCTATGTCCTCAATGCCTTGCACAGTTTCTGGAACACAGGAGGCATTCAGTATTTGCTGAATTAATACATATTGATTCCTTCCAAATGGCACTGTGTCTGCATCTCTTCTCCCCGAATGCGCTTGTCACTCATTCTGTATCCTTGTTTACACTGCATTACCCAGCATCTGTCCTTATGGTAATGCCATTCCTTTGGGCAGAGGTGTTTCCATGGTGATGCAGGAGCTTTCCTCCTACTTAGCAGGACTCTCAGAAAGCTCTTTGCAGCAAGGTTCTATTTCTAGTGCTGTTAAGACTCCAGCACACACAGAACTTTCCATTCCTAACCTGGAGAGCCTTCTCTATCAGTATAGTTAGTAGGTGATTTGCCTGCTGATTTTCAGCAGTTGTGTAGGCTAGTTTATTTAAGCAGATCTCTTTTGATGGATATTTAGTATGTTTAAAGACTCTGGCTATTCATTCATTCCCTCAGAAAATATTTATGGAAGGCCTATTCTACTCTAGGCACTGTTTTAGGCATGTGGCATACACCAGTGACTCCACCTTGGGTACCCAGTTTTATCATAAATTACCCAACCTATTGTTGATGATGTGAAGAATGTCAAAGATCTTGATTTTGCTTGCTGATCTCTGGCTCCTGTTCTCGAAGCCCATTGACACAAAAATATGTACAGTAAAAAACACCATTCCTCTGCTTACCAAACAAACAAACAAACAAATAAACAAAAACCCTAAGTTCTCAGGATCATGGTTAAATAACAAGTCATTAGTCCTAGAGGCTGTACTCATTAAAAACAGCCAACTCTGGCTGGCTATCTGTCTTGTGCCAAGGAGAGGAAAAACATAGATAACTTCATGTCTTTTGAGTGACAGACATAAAACATAATAGGGATTTTAATGATCTCTTTAGGATATGACAACTTCTATCCACAGCTTCTTATGCTCAAAGGCAACAAAAACCTCCATCTTTGCTACCACTTTTCCATGATCCTTAGATTTGTTGTTTCTCAAGTATTTTCTTGACACTGGACCAATCTTTCAAAGACACAGAAACCTGGCCGGGCGCGGTGGCTCACGCCTGTAATCCCAGCACTCTGGGAGGCCGAGGCGGGCGGATTGCTTGAGGTCAGGAGTTCGAAACCAGCCTGAGTAAGAGCGAGACCCCGTCTCTACTATAAATAGAAAGAAATTAATTGGCCAACTAATATATATATATAGAAAAAGTTAGCCGGGCATGGTGGCACATGCCTGTAGTCCCAGCTACTCGGGAGGCTGAGGCAGGAGGATCACTTGAGCCCAGGAGATTGAGGTTGCTGTGAGCTAGGCTGACGCCACGGCACTCACTCTAGCCTGGGCAACAAAGTGAGACTCTGAAAAAAAAAAAAAAAAAAAGACACAGAAACCAACACTACCACTTTGGCTGTTAAATACAAAGTACAGACCAGAAAAAAAACTCATCCAGGCATTTGAAGTACTGGATAAACTTGTGTTACTGAGGAGTTGAGCACTGCATCCCAAGAGTCCTGACCTGTTCTAGAGCCCATCAGCCTCTCCTGGAACTGGAAGTTGGAAGTGGGCAACCTCGGAGTTGCTAAGATGACCTTCATTTGTATGTCACTCAGGTTTCTGTGATTTAATTGGCTAATGTCTCCCTCATTATGGACATCTTTCTCATCCTAGAGTGTGTCATCACCTGTGGTTTGAGTTTACCTCCTGCTTTGCAACAGGAAAGACCTAGAACTTACCCATTGATATAATCCTCAGAATATCTTCCTGCTATGCCATCAGTATTTCTAGGGAGTAAGTAAAAATTAGCTCAGTCTGAGAAAGAAAAATCTGCATAGTTATTCATTAGACAAGATAAACAAATACAAATAAAGACAGCTGCTCAAACTTAAGAAAAATATTTCCGCCATGGATGTGCTACATCTATAAAGTATCATGATAACTCTCTTTGACTGACTACTGCTTTGTCACTCACCAAGAAACTTTGCTCTCTAAAATCAAAGACTTTGAGAAACTTGCTGTTTGACATTTTGTCAGTAAGAATAAAAACACCTTACTCTTGTTTGGAGGATCTAAGCCACTTTAACAGAGAAGCAGCTTCGATTTACAAACCAGCTGCAAAAAAAAGTTTCAGAAAAGGAGTTTCTGGAAACTTTCATAGAAATAGGATCATGGGTCCACTTTGCAGTCTAGGCCTGATGTTGACCCCTTTTTACAGTCTTGCTTTCTTTTGAGACTATCAAAACTATTTCATTTAAGTTCCATCTAAACTTCACACTTCTTAAAAATCCTGTAAAGTTATTTTTTCCTTCCTTTGGTTAAATGCCCCATGGTGTTTCTGGTGCACAGTCTCCCTGACTGCAATAGATCAATAGACCTGATTTTGTTGACTGGTTTGTTCCTGGTGGTCTTAGGCTACCTGGCATGGACACTGTCTTTCTCAGCTTCAGGGTTCCCAAGATTACGAATTTTGAAAACAGAGATACAACACATATTTTTTTCACTCCTAAATATACATGCACTTGCTCACTCTGCCAGGTAATCATGTGCATGGCTACCATGCCAATTTGGTCATAACTAGAGTTGGTTCACATTTCAGGAAGGTTATAGGATCAAGAATGTAAGTCAGGGTTGTGGGTGGCTTTACTTCACTTTTTTTGTTTTTTTCGGGGGTTCACTTCTTGAACGGGCTGATTTACCTTCTCTTTGGACATTCTGTCTGCTAAACCAAAGCCTCCATCTCCAGTGACTGAGGAAAAAACACAAGACACATCTACTCAGCTCAGGCTGACAGAAATACTAGAGTGGATCTGGTTACAGGTAGACAGACCGTCCAGGCCTCGTGGACACCCACAGAGACTCCAGGACACGGCGGGGAAGTGGGCGGCATGAGGCTACTTTTCCTTGTGTCTCCCATCCAGACTCAAGGACCAGTGCTAGCCCTCTGCTCTATGCCCCAAGGCAGGACCCCAAGCTCGGCGCCCACCCTGCCACTCATACCCAAGAGCAGGAGGGTGTGGTTTCAGGGATTGAGGGGGTGTAGCTTCCCATCACAGGCGGAGTGCCTCCTGGCCTCCACATTTGCCATAGGAACGAACCCGCCTCACTCTTCCTCTTGGGGATTGGATGCTCGACTGGGGCGTGAGTAGAGGCCTAATAAACTACAGAGCATGTCCAGAGAACCTTCTTGATGCCTGGCGTCATCCTCGAGTTGCCCTTCCTCTCGGTAATTGGGAGAACCGATGGGGGTCTAACGCAAGGGGTGTGGCTCTTCAGCTGGAGGCCACAGGTACGGAGAGCAAGCCCTGGGCGCCACCGTGATTCCTGGCCTCGTCCTCATCTTGCCCTCTCCGTGATCCGATGGGTAGGGAGGACCTTCTGGAAGTCACATAGCAGAGCTCTGCACTTTCTGGGTCTGGTCATCTGATTTCTGTCACCTGTGGCCTCTAACAGTTATTTTGTTCATTCCTGTATGCCCGTGACCTGTGGAGGCAAACAAGTCTTGGTTGGAGGAAGTTATCTTACAATTATAATGGAGCTTGGGAGACACTGAAAACTCCTTGGGGATGCTTAGGAAGGGTCTTGAGATGCTTGTGAGGAGCACATTCCAGCAGAGGAAGGGGCTCAGCTGCATGAAAAGCTGCGGGACCTGTAGCTGTAGGTAGATAGGGGTGAGAGACGCAGAATGGCAGGAGAGAAAAGCTAGGATGGTGTCTTGGAGTGAGATTTTGGATCTATGATCCGGCCTGTGAATAGCCATTGCACTCCAGTCAGGGCAACGGTGGCCAGATCAGTCTCTTTAAAAAAAAAAAAAAAAAAGGCTGGGCTTCGTGGCTCATGCCTGGAACCCTAGCACTCTGGGAGGCTGAGATGGGAGGCTCTCTTGAGCCCAGGAGTTTGAGGTTGATGTGAGCTAGGCTGATGCCACGGCACTCTAGTCTGGGCAACAGAGCGAGACTCTGTCTCAAAAATAATAATAATAAAAATAAATATATTATATATATAAAAACATATATGAACATGCTGATGTGATGCACCAAGGACACAGCATTTCTACCAAAAATTAATGATCTGGAATTTAATCACGGAGAAAACTCCAACAAACCCATATTGTGACAGTCCACAAAACAAGCCTGTACTTGTAAAAAAAATGTCAGTATCGCCTGGGCGTGGTGGCTCATACCTGTAATCCTAGCACTCTGGGAGGTCCAGGAGGGAGGATTGCTCAAGGTCAGGAGTTTGAGACCAGCCTGAGCAAGAGTGAGACCCTGTCTCTACTAAAAATAGAAAGAAATTAGTTGGACAACTAAAAATATATAGAAAAGGTTAGCCGGGCATGGTGGCGCATGCCTGTAGTCCCAGCTACTCCAGAGGCTGAGGCAGGAGGATCGCTTGAGCCCAGGAGTTTCAGGTTGCTGTGAGCTAGGCTGACACCACGGCTCTGTGGCCCAGGCAACAGAGCAAGGCTCTGTCTCAAAACAAAAAATGTCAGTATCATAAAAGACCCAGAAAGGCTTAGGAACTGTTACAGATTTAACAGGTAAATCTAAAACTACCAGTTAAAAACTACAGACCTGATAACTAAATGCCAATTTGTAATCCTTCATTAGATCATGGACCAGGAGAAAAATTTTCTTTTCCCATTCGTTCCAAAGGACATAAGAGGGACAAATGATAACATTTGAATAAGGGCTGTTGATTTTTTTTTTTTTTTTTTATTCATTGGCCCTATAGAGTCTGACGCCAAGGGCTGTTGATTATAGTACTGTAGTAATATTAATTTCCTGATTTTGATAAATGTACTGATGATGTAAGAAACTGTCTTCTGTTGTTAGGAAACACACATTTAAGAATGTAGTGATAGGCCAGGCGCGGTGCCTCACGCCTATAATCCTAGCACTTTGGGAGGTTGAGATCGGAGGACTGCTTGAGCGCAGGAGTTGGAGACCACCTGAGCAAGTGCTAGACCCGCCTCTACTATAAATACAAAGAAATTAGTCAAATAACTAAAAATAGAAAAAATTAGCCGGGCGCACGCCTGTAGTCCCAGCTACTAGGGAGGCTAAGGCAGGAGGATCACTTGAGCCCAGGAGTTTGAGGTTGCTGTGAGCTAGGCTGACGCCAAAGCACGCTAGCACACGCAACAGAGACTGTCTCAGAAAAAAAAAAAGAATGTAGTGATAAAGGTACATCTTGTCTGCAATTTCCCCTCAAATGGTTCAGATAAAAATGACAGAATGGTAACGCAAACGTAAAATGTTAACCTGGAGAATCTAGAAAGGTTTACGGGAATTATTTGTACTAGTTTAGCAACGTTTCTTTAATTACTTTAAAGATTAACAAAATTACTGGGATTACTTAGGGAGAAAACGTGAGGAGCGAACAAACCTAGCGCTAAGACACGAATTACTAACACATTTAAGCAAAAATCAGAAGAGTAAAAAGGAAGTCCAGTGGGATGCGGACAGAGTTTGAAAGAAAGGTATAGCGTCTGTGCTCTTCTTTACCCTAAATTACTAAGAGATGACTTTCCGGCAACTGTCCTGTCCCAGTCACTAAAGCCAACCTCGCCGCACAAGTATGAGCAAAAACAACCCTGCCCCAGCCGGCTCCGCCATGTTCTGTCACTCAGCTTGCGCGCGCATAAGCACGCACGCACCAACCAATCGGTGCCGACGTCGCGGGCTCGTTAGCGCAAGGGCGGGGCGACCGTCTACACATGCGCACGGCTGGGCGGGCCTTCTTCCTTCTCGCCGAACGCCGCCGCCATGGTGAGTCTTGCTGCCGCGGGCTCCGGGTGTGCTTTACCACGCCGCTCGACCTCCACCTCGGCGGGCGAGCTGAGGCGCGCAATGGCGCCCAGAGGGTCCTGGGCAGCGCGTGGTGAGGGTGCATGGGAAGTCCGTGCACGGGGTTCGGGCCCTTCCCGGACTGGGAGCTGGTGAGCGCGTGTAGGGCCCGGCAGGCCCGGGTTGCCTTGGGCCACGCGTGCGCGCCGCCGGCGCCGCCAGAGCTGGACGGATGAGGCGGTCAGTGGCCTGGCCTAGGCGGAACCTGGGGGGCTGGGGGGCGGGCGGGTGTCGTGCAGCCCCCAAAGTCCAGGAGGTGGCAGGAGCCGGGCTTTCGCCGCCGCCGGGTTTGCAGATTTGGTCTATCCAGGTTGGCCCGTGGTGTTCAGGCGTATTCCCATTCAACACTCTTTTTCGCTGCAATTAGCCATGTGGTCTTTAAGCTGCAGAAAGTTATGTAAACTGATGAGTGTTTTTAAGTAAGCCTCGCTGTCTTTTTCTTCCCTCACGTTAGGTGTTCAGGCGCTTCGTGGAGGTTGGCCGAGTGGCCTATGTCTCCTTTGGGCCTCATGCCGGAAAGCTGGTCGCGATTGTAGACGTTATTGATCAAAATAGGGTAAGTGAAATTATCACAACTTTTTACTAAACATAGCAGTGAACGGTAGCACTATAGATGGTAATCGAGATGAGAATGCTATGAGTGGTAGCTTTATTTTATTATTGGGGAAACAGGCAGGGTAGGTTAGGGGCTTCAAGCACAGATTTAAGTTCGCTATTACTGGATTTTTGGTATTACCTCAGCTACTTAAATTGGTCAGAGCTTTTAGCCAATGATAGGCTGAAACGTTTTGAGGTTTAAATGAGTTACTATGTATGAAGTAGGTTTAGAACAGGTCCAGACACATAGAAAGCCCTTTTGCGTTTGCTGTTGTCAGTATTTGAGAGCAGCAAATTAAGGACTTGAATAATGCTTATGAACGAAAGTTGTTGGAAATGTAGGGATTAAAGATCTAAAGTTGCCTGGCAAATTACATGTGGTTGATTTCCACGGTGTACTACTAGTGGTGGTAGTTCATAACTTTTTAAAGAAGCATTTAATGGTATAAAAGTAAAGCTGTATGATTCAAATAGATTTTAAATAAGATTACTGTAAAGTAGGGCAATCTTTGTTTTTTCTGAGGAATTTGTTTAAATAATAATGTGGATTTGATGGCCTTGAAAAGAATAATAATCATATAGCATATCTGTCCATTTTAATTGCTGTTTTATGTTTTTGCACTGAGATCCTTGATCTTTATGTTCTGTAGGCTTTGGTTGATGGACCTTGCACTCAGGTAAGAAGACAGGCCATGCCTTTCAAATGCATGCAGCTCACTGACTTCATCCTCAAGTTTCCACACAGGTAACTATCCACCAATCATCACTCCTATCCAAGCTATTGTTTATAATAGTAAAAGTTGTCTTAATTCAAAAAGTTTTGTTACGTTGAGAATATAGTAAACACTACAGAAGATTCAGAAAAGGGATTTACATTATAGAAGTAAACAGGCATTTATTTTTAAAATGCCATATAGTCACTTTTCCACCCTGGTAATTTTCTGGCTTTGCCTTTATTCAGGCTTGCCATCCTCTTTTCATGTGGTCCCCCTTTCTTTAGTATTTTCACATAATAAAAATAAGAAATTGTGTTCTCCACTGAACATAGTAACTTTTAGCTTTAAAACAAATACTAAGTCTTATGTCTTCTGATTCTGGCTATCATTAAGTGACCTTTAAGTGTGTATTAGGTATAAGGTATTTAACTTAAGAGCTTCTGTTCTCAGCTTACATTTAGGGAATTGGAACATTGAGCAGTCATTCTTTTTTAATATGGAAATTAAAACACTGATGTGTTGCTATAAAGTTATCTCAATCTACAGTGACAGTTGGTTGAAATGGAGTATATAGTATAACATGGCTATTTACAGATAAGATAGCCCTGAACTGATTTTGCATACATATAAACAGCAGGATGAAAAGTATGCCATGCACTTCAAATAGTACTGGTATGTGCATGATAAGAGACTTTCCAGTATTGGTTGTTGAAAACTTCCCACTTGAACAACCTGGAGTGAACATGTCTGTGCTGTGGTATTACAACTGTCACATTGAGGCACAATTAAGGATGAATCTTGAGGATGTTTGTCAAAGTTCATTGTGTAGCAGGGTTCCTCAAACTTTTTAAATAGGGGGCCAGTTCACTGTCCTCAGACCGTTGGAGGGCCGGACTATAGTTTAAAGAAAACTATGAACAAATTCCTATGTACACTGCACATACCTTGTTTTGAAGTAAAAAAAACCAAACAAACAGGCAAAAACACCCGAATGTGGCCTGCAGGCCATAGTTTGAGGACACCTGGTGTAGAGGGATTTCACGTGACTTATTTTCTGGACTTTCTAGTGACTGTTTTCTCCGGGTGCTCTTGCTTTCTGTCTTAGATCCTTGAATGATGCACCAGGGTTTTTTTTGTTTTGTTTTATTTTTTAAGGATGTTTGGCCACAAATCATGACTGTAAAAGATAAAAACAGGCCTAAGGATTAACTTGCCTTGTTAATTATGAAAAGGAAATGGTTTTCTACATGTGTACTACCCTAAGTGGAATTACATATGGTTGGAGGTCATTTCTGATTCCATAAAATGGACTGGATTGCAGTTTTGGTTAAAATTGTGCTTGTAATCATAATCTATCCTGGCTTAGTGAATACTATTCAAATAGTTAAAAGACTTAGTGTGCCAGGTGTTGTATGTTATGTAGACAGTTAAAACTAGAAGTGTAACACAAAGGGTGTTTGGCTCAAGATAAAAAGCTGTCCTTGATTGTGTGTCTTCAAAGCTGATTCCTTAATCTTTGGTCTTTGCTCTTTATAGTGCCCGCCAGAAGTATGTCCGACAAGCCTGGCAGAAGGCAGATATAAATACAAAATGGGCAGCCACAAGATGGGCCAAGAAGATTGAAGCCAGAGAAAGGGTAATGACTTGGGGTCATTTGAATATTGGGCCTTTTTTTTTTTTTAAAGAGGATTCAGTATAGTACAAAAGGGATAATTTTAACTTTTTTTTTTTTAATAGAAAGCTAAGATGACGGACTTTGATCGTTTTAAAGTTATGAAGGCCAAGAAAATGGTAAGTTTTAAGATCTGTATTTTTGTGCAACTTAGCTTCAGGATGAGAAGGGAGCCAGTAGCTAAATCTCATTTTAAACTGCTGGTCTTTGGGGTGCTTCATGTGAAAAGGGAGAATTTAAAGTTTTTTTTTTAATGTATGTACAATAAATGCTTTCTTATTAACAATTTTCAGAGGAACAGAATAATCAAGAATGAAGTTAAGAAGCTTCAGAAGGCAGCTCTCCTAAAAGCTTCTCCCAAAAAAGCACCTGCTAAGGGTGCTGCTGCAGTTGCAGCGGCTGCTGCTAAAGTTCCAGCAAAAAAGATGACCACTGCAGGGAAGAAGGCTCCCGCCCAGAAGGTTCCTGCCCAGAAAGCCACAGGCCAGAAGGCAGCACCTCCTGCGAAAGCTCAAAAGGGTCAAAAAGCTCCAGCCCAGAAAGCCCCTGCTCCAAAGGCATCTGGCAAGAAAGCATAAGAGTATTATAAAAGTAATAAAGGTTCTTTTTGACATGTTGGCAAATCTACTTAAGTTTATGAATTGAAAGCCTCTTGCTGAGGCTGGGGGTTAGAAGGCAGACTGATAGAATTGTTAGCATCATTAGAATATCCATTCCTGAGTCTGTCTCTGTCCAGACTTGGAGATGTAGTACAAGGCCATCACAAAGTTGTAACTGGTGAATATTTTTATGGGAAATCACTGATTAGAACACGAAGTGACATTTTTTTTCTCCTGTAAATAGGTAAAATTCTAGCCTTTTTTAAACTATAAAACTCATAAAGGCATAAAGTTTCCAGCCTCTTGATGCTCAAGAGTCCTAGGATATTTTCTCATAAAAATAAACTGTAGGAGAACAAGACAAGTATATAAATTACGCAGTTTGAGGATCTCTAATCTGAGATGATCCAAAATCTGAAACTAAGCACCAACGTGGTGCCACAAGTGGAACATTCCACGTCTGACCTCATGGCAGGTTGAACACAAAATGCAGTCACACAATATAATTTATTCAGTGTCCCCAAGGAAAGAAATAGTTAAAGTTTTGTATATAAGGTAATATATAAAACAAATTTCATGCTTAGTCTTAGATCCCATCCCCAGGGATGTTATGTATATGCAAATATTCCAAAATCTGAAACAATTTTGGTCTTAAGCATTTCACTTGACATCTATGGTAAGTGGGGTTTTTGATTCTTTACCTCTGTAAGATTTTAGTAATTTTGGACATTGAAGCATCCTGGATGGATTTAAATACTATAAGGCTATACATCTTGGAAATTTAGTGATAAATTTAAAATGAAGATCATTTTCTAAACAAAAGGTAGCTTCCGACCTCCACTGAGATAAGTACACAACATTAATTTGCTTCATTGATAATAGGCAAGTGATAATGATGTAATAGCCTCTATAATAGGGAAAGGTGAGAGCACTTCTGTCAGATTGCCAGTGGTATTGAAGGTCCTTTGGCTCTAGTCCATGAGGTGCTCAGAGGATGAGAAAGCTTCAGAGTAGATGCAGCATTCAAACCACCTAGAACATAGTATAATATGGAACAATGGAAATTGGAAATTCCAGTCTAAGCAACTTTGGATTGAGGCATAAGATGCCTGAAAAAGGTTAGAAAGTAAAATTAATAAGGTGCAGCCATATGATAGATTTTTGAGCAAGGGAGTAATCTTCATGAAGGTCAGTCTAGCAGCATAATCTGGATTGGGTTGAAGGATGGGAAAAGAGATTGGAAAATTATTAAAATACCCAGGTACATAAAAGTTCACTTTGATTATAGAAAACTGCACACTTGTCTGGTTAGCCTCATTAGAGAGGGAGGATGGCAAAGGGAAAGAATACTGATTTCAAAGTCATATCTAGGTTTAAATCCTGTCATTCAGCCCCCAATCATTCTTGTATTAATACCTTCATGGGCATCATCTGAAAAATAAGGACCCTGATACCTGCCTTATATTATGGCAAGGATCAGATGAGTCAAATGAGATGCTTGGGAAAGGGGTCCATATCCTCAACCTCTGCCACAATTATTCCCACACATTAAGTATTCAGTAATTTAGGTTGAATTGTGTTGAGCTACACTGGCTCTATAGACAAAATTAGGAAGTTAGTTTGATTTTCAGGGAACCTCTACTAGCTTGTATGTACTTCAATAGCCTCTGGTATTCAGGTAGTTGGCATGTCCTCTAATTCATGTTACTTATTTCCCTCTCATCTGTTGGTTGAAATACTGTTTATCCTTTAGTACCTAAAAGGTTACCTCATTCTACTAGTTAGCTGATTTTTTAAAAATCTGGACTAAATTATGAACACATATACATCATAATGAAATACAATAGTTGAAAGTGAAGGACGCTTTGATTATTTCCACTTCCCATTTCAGAAGTTTCTGAAAAGTTTAGGGACGCTATCTGAAAGAGCCAGAAGGCTTTTAAGAAGCAAACAGTGTCATGACTAGATTTGCATCTCAAATCATCCGGCTGCAGTGTGGAAGGAAGGATTGGAGGGGGCTAGACTGGAGACCAGGGAAATGGTTAGGCTGTCTCAGTAGCTTCTCCAGGGCAGAGAAGATGCAGAAGAGGGAGTCATCCCAGATGATTGACTTGGTTGGTTTGATGCAAACTTGTGCCTCTCAGCGGGATGAAGGAACAGGAAGGAGGAAGAGGAACGGGAAGGATGATAAGATTAGTTTGGAACAGTTTGAATTCAGGCTCTTGTGGAGTAGTCAAGCAGAAATAAACAATAGGCAATTTGAAACAGGTCTCCATTTCGGATCTATCTGCATAGTGCCTGGCCAATAGGAGGCTCTATTGCCATGATTATTTTATCTTGGCTAGAGAAAGAGATAAGTGTCTTACAGGAGAGTGGCGATGACACACAGGAGTAATAATATCAGCAATAATTTAGCATTTATTTTGACTTAGATATGGTATTAAAAAAATGTGTTTTACATGAACTGACTCCACTGAATTTATAAATTCAAAACTAGTACCATTCTCCCTTGAGTAATTGAAGCAAAGACTTAAGTATAACTTGAGCAAGTCCATACGGTTAATAAACGGTGGAGCCAGGAGCCAGGAAGGCAGACAATGAGACCCCAGACCCCTCGGTCTTAGGTCACACAGTCCAGTAAATCAGCCATTAAGTGGGAGACAGAGGCTATAAACCCATCAGAAGGTTAAGTTACTGCTAGTAAACGCTACAGCCAGAATTCAGAGCATAACAAGAATAATGTGGACTCTGTCCTTGAGGAATTTATCGTCTGGTTGGAGTGCCAAGACATAAGCGAAAATAATTAATAAAATACCAAGTGCCTAGGAGTCGTGGGGAAGGGAGGGGTGCGAGTCTGGCTGGGGGCTGGAAACCATAGAGAAGGGCCAGCCTCCCGACTTCCTAGAGAGGCGCTAGGGACCGCAGCCCACTCATGCTTCCGCCTTGGCTGCGGGCGTTCGGGGTGAGTGACTCCGGGTTCCCTGACCAGGCGTTTCCTGACCCGGCTCCGTGTCCTGGAGGTCCAGCGTTGCGACCGCGCAGACACCGTCCTCGGGGCCCGCGTGGCCGACCAGAGCCCGGGCCCACCTCCCTGCCCTCAAAGGCGCAATCGACCTTCCTGCCCCGAAGAGCTGGCCTGATGTCCTGTCTGGCTCGCGGTACTCAGGGCGGAGGGCCCATGACTATAGGGTCGCCTGCTTCCCTGACTGCAGCTTTCACGTCTTACCGTTGTCACCTGGAGCCAGATCACCACTTGCATTTTGTCCTGCAGCCCGTGGTTGGTTCAAGAGTACCCGTTATCCTGTTTTCTCTCTAGAGGCTCGTTTTGGGTCTTTGCCATGATCACTAGAAGCATTCAGCATAATCTACTTAGTAATGTATTCATAGTGGGGCAAAGGATTTTCTTAAAAGTCATGAATCCATTGCAGCTCTTGACTCTTGCTTCACAGATATTCTTTCTAGGAATTTCCATCTTCACCAGGCAGATCTATAGGAGAATGTACAAATGGTGAATTTGCAGGATCCTACGAATCAGTGGAGAGGGTGGTTGAGAACAGGCAAAGTGTCCTAAGAATATCTGTTTCCATTGATAGTGGCAGGAGACTGAGAGGGGAAGAAGTGGAGAGTGTGGGAAACAAGACGGAATCAATCTCATTGTGGTTCTCTTTCCTCTTAGCTCTGAAGATTCTTGTTTTTGCAAACAAGAGGGCAGTGCATGAAGCCAGGGGTCATCAGCCATGCTCCAGACAGTATGGTTCCAGGTGAGCCGAGCTTTTTTCCAGCTTTCCATATTCAGAACAGATGTGAAAGTTCACTACAGCTTCAATAGCCTGACTTGGCCAGTCCCATGCTGAGCTTTGCATCCCTCAATAGAGTATGGCAAAGGAGTATGCTAGGGGCGTTGATGAAGAAGAGTAGGTAAATTTGGGAGGATTGAATTGATTCAGAAAGAAGGAAAGAATTCTAGAAAATGAGAATCAGCATCCATGAAAACTCAAAGTGTGGTCCATAGGTGAGCAGCTTCTGCATCACCAGGGCGCTTGGTAGGCAGAATTTCAGGTCCCATTCCCAATTTCTTAAATCAGAATCTACGTTTTTTACAAGATCTAGGGAGTTAATCAGCAAGTTAAAATTTGAGGAGTGCTTGTCTACATCACAGTACACAGAGGAAAGCCACCTTCTGATATTTAACAGGCACTCCCAGGGGAGGAGTTTGCCCTGCAGACCACCCAGTTGTAACTGGGAGCATTTGGAAGGTGTAGATTGATGAGGGAGGTGTATTCTTGGAGGAACGCTCAGTTTGGAGCTGAAGTCAGTGCCTTTAGCCCATTGCAAAGATGGCAGCATAAACTCTATGAGAGCCTGTATCCTTTGTTGACACAAATTCATGCAGCAGTGAGAGCAGTGTCCCTCCAGAGTTTTCTGTGTGATAGTGGATGATGTCACTGGATTTTTCTCCAGTGTTCTAGATCATGTAATGAGAAGCTGAGTGTATCATGTAATGGACATATGTAATGAGAAAGCTCCATCCCAAAGACTTAACAGCAATGTGTATGTGCTCCTTTTTGTGGATATTGGATATTGGACCACCTACGTCTGTTTGAGCACTTCAGCCAAAATTAGTTCCTATAAGTCAGGAAATGTTTAAACATCTGGATGGAGTAGGCTGCTCTCCTAGTGCTTTGTCTGAAGTACAGTAGTTACTTAGGATTAGGTTCTACTAAGAAAATCCCAAGTGACAGTGGCTTAAACAAGGTAGAGCCTTCTCTGTCATGCCAAAGAAGTCTATAAGAGTCAGTCCAGGACTAGTGTAGCAGCTCCACTATTATCCTGGTCTCGGGCTCTTTCTGTCTTTCTGCTCTACCATCCTAGCACTGTCTCACATGCTCTAGGCCACTTTATGGTCCAAGATGGCCACTGATCTCTAGCCATCACGTGTGCATTCCAGCTAGAAGAGGAGATGCCAGAAAAGTTGAACCTTTCTTTTTTAGGAAGCTTCTAGAAGTCACTGATAATATACTTGCATTTCATTGGCCTCACTTAGTTGCCAGGGCTGAGTGCAACCTCAAGTAAAATTAGGGTTCTATTACTAAGGAAGAAAGGGAGTATATACACACACGCAAACAGATGCACACACCTGTTCATCTTTGATCTAATTTCTATGAGGAATACTTGTCATTTAGAATCTTCTAGGAAATTCCCCCAGTCTTATCTGTGGTTGTAACAAGTGCTGAGGTTATATGACATCATGTGCCAGGTGATGTTTTAGTGCTTTGTACATATTAACTCATTTTACCCTTATAAGAGCCCTATCAGATAGTTATTTCTGTTATCCCAGTTTTACAAATGGGGCAACTGAGGCACAAAAAGGTTAAGTATCTCATCCAGGGTCACATAGTTAATGAGTATCAGGGATGGGATTTGATCCTAGGGAGTCTGGCTCTAGACCAGGGTTTTCAACCTTGGTGCTATTTACTTTTCATGCCAGGCAGTTCTTTATTTTGGGTATACATTGTAGGATGTTCATCAACATTTCTGGCCACTATCTATTAGATGCTAGTACCACTTCCACCACCACCATGCTGCAGTTGTGGCAACTCCAGATATTGCCACATAGCCCCTGGGGGGCAAAATTACCCCCATATTGAGAACCACATAGTTCTAAATGTCTGTGCTGTTTGTCATTATGCTGTGCTGCCTCTGTAACCTGCTTCCAGTACAGGGGAATCAACAGCTGCACCTAATAATGGAGAAAGGAGTAAGTGCAAGCAATGGAGAGAAGCAGAGTGATCATGGATGGAACAGGATGTTGAGAAGCTAAATGTTTTAGGAAACAAAGAACCAAAGAATGTATTGATAATTAGAGAGTTGTCTCATAGGTGTGGGGGGTAGAGCATAATGTGAGGAAAGGTGAGGTCCATGTTCCCAGCTGTTGACTCTGAAGGAAGTAAGAGCATTAACATTTGGAGTCAGTGAAGTATCTGTTCTGTACTGTCCAATAAACTACCCCCGAGCTACATGTGTCTATTTAAATTAAAATCAATTAAAATGAAAAATTTAGTTCCTCAGTCACACTAGCCGTATATGAACTTCCTTGTCTATGTGTTATCTGATTTCTTTACTGTATAGTTACTGTTTTCCTTTTGCAACTAATAAGTAATTTATGGGGAGACATTTAAGGTCATGCAAATATTGTGCTTCTCATCCAAATTTCTTCCTAGATTTAGCATCCACTGATGATTTTTGGGCAAACCAATCTTTACAATGATGACTATGGATTTTCTAGTACTTCCGGAGATATCTTTCTTCCACCCAGAAGAGACTAAGCACAAAGAGAAGCTTGCTAACATGATGAACTGGGATAGAGTACAGTGTGAGTCAGAGAGAAATGTTATAGTAGGACTAATTTACATAAAAGTGGTTAGTTCATTTTGAAGTTTTTGCTTCCTTGTACAACCCTGTAATAGATACTTAGATAAAAAGGACTCCCCTTAATCCATTTCAAGGTGCTTGATATTGCTGATTCCCCTCATCTGAAAAGGGGAATAATAATTCTTACTTCACAGATGTATTATTGTGATTGAACAACTTGATGTAAAAGTAACTGACACAGGCACACAGCCCTAAACAACCCGTGATGGTTTCCTTCTTCCTTGAGAAGTTGGAGATGGTTCTAGTGGGAGGCAGAGAGAGATACAGATGGTGAAGAGGACAGCATTGGCAAGTCTGGCAGAGCTTAGATGATCAGGGGACAGATCTCGGCACAAAGATGGGAGACTGCCATCCTGTCCCTGGAGTCAAGTGTGCTAGGAGATGAGGGAGTGACACTGTACATTGCCTTCAAGGGAGAACCAGCATTTTCTGATACGGCAAGGTGGTAGAAAGAGGGAGAAATATCCAGAATGAATATCCCCCTAGGAATTACTCCTCTGTCTGTAGGAGAAGATGTGGAGGAGGAAAACCAGAGAGAAGCTGAGTGGAAGGTCCTGACAGGTACTTCAGGATGGATGGAGGCAGGTTGAAAAAGACAGGTACCCGCTGTGGTTGATTTAAAAAACATGCCAGAAAAATATACCTGGCTTGTGGAACCAGACATAGGTTGAGATGATCACCAAGCAGAGAACAGCAGGTGCTGGACTGTGTGCTTATTGATTATTATTGGAGCCCCAGAGGTGTGGACATGAAAGTGGGAAAGTAGCTGAGGGCTTCCCTTGACTAGGGTGCTGTGTGTCTCTCCCCACCAGTATAAACCTTCCTTGGGGCTCAGAGCCATGGAGTCTATTAGATTTATCCCTTCCCTGCAATTCAGGTCCTTCCCCCTGCTCATATGCAGGGCTTGAGCAGGAACCTGTTGTTTCAGGAGCCAGTGACCTTTGAGGACGTGGCTGTGTACTTCACCCAGAATGAATGGGCCAGCCTGGACCCTGTGCAGAGGGCCCTGTACAGGGAGGTGATGCTGGAGAATTATGCAAATGCAGCTTCCTTGTGTAAGTCCTCCTTCCTCTTTGAAACTCGGCTTCTGCCCTTAGAGGCTCCTAGATTCCTCCTTAATAGCTCTGGGATCTCTAATGCCACCAGGAATGATGTCCTTTGAGCTGAACTCCCTAATCCCCAGTTTTAGGCGTAGCTGGATGGAGAAAGGGCTGGGTTCACTTTGGTTTTTAACAGGACCCCCCTCTTTTCTGATTCCTAGTGGGGACTCCACTGCAAGGGGCTTTCCTTTGGGCACAGAGAGAACCGAGAAGGTTCCTGGTGCACCATCTCCAGTCTTCCAGTTCTCCAGAGGAGACCTTGACCCCATCTGCTATGCATGAGAGTCTCCTAGGACCCCCATGTACACACCTCCAGTGACTGTGGAGCTTCTGTCCTCTTAGAGGCCAGAATAAGCTTTGAGCCCTTCCTTAAATTCCCCACATTCTCTCCTCACTGACCTCACTTAGTCTCCTGGGGCATCCACTTCTTTTTTTTTTTTTACCTGACAAAGCAGAGGGTAGTCTGAGGGAGGCCAGTGGTGATTCTCCTCAGCTTCCTGTTCCTTTTTGTTTTCTCCTCTAGCAGCATTTCCACTTCTCAAGCCAGATCTGATTTTCCAGCTGGAACAAGGAGAAGCACCATGGGGCCTGGACCCCTGGACATCTGCTGGGGGAGAGGTCTTGAGAGGCATGTGCACAGGTGAGCAGGAGAACCTACCATCTTTCATTCCAGCTTTGCCTCCTCCTTTCTTTCAATTATTTAACACAAAAGAGGTTTTTCTCCTGTCACATGGCTGTTGTAGGGATGAAAACAGTCACTCTTATTCAGAGAAGAGTTGCTCACTAGAGCTTCAACCCCAAACTGGAGAAGATTAGTCCAGCCATTTCATTTTCTGTTGTTTTTCTTTGTAAAGCTAAAGAGTTTCAAACTCCTGTCGTGAAAATAGGCTTCTGTTGGTCATCTTAGGAATATAAACACAATACTATAAAAACTTGTTTCTGTAACATTTTTACGTGTATGTATGAAACTGTACATGAGAATAGAATTTTTCTGAATTCCTAAACTGAACTTTTTCGGAATTCCTAAACACTAAATTATAAATTAGTTTTTGAAAGAAGGCTTGTTTATGTATTGGAAATGAATGGTTTCCTTTTTTGAAAGATACTAGATTGAGGTAAATGTAAAGAACCATTCAGAAATTTGGTTTATAGCCTTTCTCATTCAGTTGCCCTCCTCTTATACTCTCAATCCTTTATACTGTTCAGAGCCTCTGTAAACCAATGCTCCTTTCTGGTTTCCTGCCACTTCTATCTTAATCAGTGCCTTTAAGTTGACTTCAGGACTTCCGGTTATCTTGATGAAGAGCCTTTCCTGGTAGCCTTCCTGCAGTTCTCAGTATTTCCCTTTGCCACATCCACATGTTGTCTGTTTAGCTTGCCAAAGGCTTTAACCCAGCATTAATTCAATAGAACTTTCTATAGTATGGATTGTTAGATATCTGCACTGTTCAATGTGGTAGGCATTAGCCATATGCATGTGGCTAGTGCAACCAAGGAACTGAATTTTTAATTTTATTTCATTTAAATTAATTTAATTAAAATTTAGATAGCCACATGTGTGGCTGGTAGCCACATGGGACTATGCAGCCTTAAGTAATTAAAAGAATAACCTCAGTCTGCCTCTTTTATTTTCAGATCAATAAGTTTCAAACTCCGGTGTGTATCACAATTACTTGTGAAGCTTGTTAAAATACAGATTGCTAGGTGTCACCTCCAGAGATTCTATTTCAGTAGACTGGGGTGGGCCTGAGAATTTGCATTTCTAACAAGTTTCCAGATGGTGCTGGTCCCAGGACCACAATTTGAGACCACTGTTCTTGAGAATCTAGAGCTATGTTCCTTAAACTCTGGGTTGCAACTCATCTGTGAGTTGTGATCAGCATTTTAAAAATAGACTGGACCAGGCACAAGGGCTCATGCCTGTAATCCCAGCATTTTGGGAGGCCAACGTGGGAGGTTCACTTGAGGCCAGGAGTTTGAGACTAGCCTGGGCAATATAACAAGACCACATGCCTATAAAAAAATAGCCAGGTATGGTGTATGGTGATATGAACCTGTAGTCCCAGCTACTTGGGAGGCTGAGGTAACAGGATTGCTTGCGCCTAGGAGTTCAAGACTGCAGTGAGCTATGATCATGCCACTGCACTCCAGACTGGCAAAAGAGCAAAACCCTGTCTCAAAAAGAAAGAAAAAAAGAAAAAAATTAGACTGTACTAGGTGTAAATAAAATAAACCAAAATAGTATAAAATCTGTCATGAATGCATCACTCTTATTAAGGATAGTGTTTTATGAAACTTATTTCTGTTTTAGTTGTGTGCTTATGTAAGCAAGTCTGTACTGGATTAGAATCTAAAATGTGAGTCATAGTCAACAAGTATTGTGAAACACTAAGGTAGAAGTTTTACTTGTCAGACTGTTGGTGCTTGAAAGGGCAAAAAACCTTTCTATATTGTAGTGCCAACGGGAGAGCATGAGCTCCCCACCCTGCCCCAGTTGCCATGTCCAGTCTGGGCAGAGTTCTTGACTGCCTGTCTTTTCCCCTTTCAGAGGTCAGTCTCCCAGAGGACAGCATTTGGATTTTGAAATTGTGGTCCTCTTATGAATCCTTTGTAACCAGCCATGTTACAAACTACTTTCTCTCATCAGGCTGTGATATAGGTATATTCTCTTTAAAAAGACAGAATATGGGCGACTTCTGGGCCCCCTGTCTTTGGACCCAACTCGTCCACAAGAAAAAAAAAAAAATGACAGAATTATGAATCAGTGTGGGTGGTCATGCCTGTACCTTAGCACTTTAAGACCCTGAGGTGGGAGATCACTTGAGCTAGGGAGTTCGAGACCAGCCAGGCAACATAGCAAAATCCATCTCTACAATAAATGAATAAAATAAAATAAAAGTAATACCTGTGTTTTCCTCACAAGGTTCTGTAGGAAGTAAAGTAAGAATAAGATAGCGAATATGAAATCCTTTGTAAATGTTAAATGTAAGAGATTTACAAAAAATAATTTTAAAAAGTACATAAAAAATAAAGATTACAGAATATTTTCAATTATTTTTGACAGGTTTCATGCCTTGATTGAGCCTTGGGATCCACTGTTATAGACAGCATCTCCCAGCCCTCTGGGTACCATGTGGTGCTAGAGTTGCCGTATCCGACTGCTCCTGCTTCGTTTAATAAGATCTCTCTTCTTCCTTCAGCTTCCTCTGCTTTTCTTGCTTCGTTCCTGATTTGGTACCCCATCCCATTTGGCCTTTATCTTATTTTCCTAAGTACAGCTTTTCAGTCCTATTACTCTTTTGTATCCTACATCATGGCTTCTTCTCCTCCTCCAGTGTTTTTTTATTTAAATTTATTTTTATTTATTTATTTTTTGAGAAGAGTCTTGCTTTGTTACAGGCAGAGTGAGTGCTGCGTCAGCTAGCTCACAGCAACCTACTCCTGGCTTGAAGGGGAAAATCTGCGCTCAACTCCTTGAGTAAGCTGGTACTCGCATGTGCCCAGCCTGGGTAATTTTTTCTATAGATATATATTAGTTGGCCAAATTAATTTCTTTTTTTTTTTTTTTATAGTAGAACGACTTTGCTCAGGCTGGTTTGACTCATGACCTCAGAGCAATCCACCTGCTTGGCCTCCCAGAGTGCTGGGGTTACAGGTGTGAGCCACCGTGCCCGGCCCTTCAGTGTTTTTATTCTCTCTTTGGGGCACCATTAGGTAGCTATGTCTTTCTCCAGAAGTACATGTGTCTAACACAATCTGATAATGCTTTCTCCCTTTTCCTTCTGACATAAAGAATAAGGGACTGTTATGTTTCCTTTTTATCATGTTAGGTGATAAAACCAAGACGAAGAAGGAAGAACAAGCTCCCAAACTAAACATTTCTAAAGGATCAGAGTCTCATGGACTGCCAGTGGAGGGGCTGATGGACAGTCCCCAGTACCCTTACTTCAAGGACAGGTTAGAGAAGTCACAATTATATGACACAGAGAAGAAAACAAACTTAAAGAAAGGAGATTGCACAGGTTTGACAGTCCAGGATCCTAATTCCTCCACTATTAAAAGAGAGGGGATAGCCAAGAAATTGGAAGAAAGCAGTAGTGTCAGCACACATCTCATTACAAAGCAGGGCCTTCCTAGAGAACAGGTGTTTTATAAATGCAGTGAGTGCGGTAGTTACTACAACCCCCAGTCAGACCTTCACCAGCATCAGAGAATTCATACTGACAAAAAGCCCTACAAATGCAAAGAATGTGGGAAAACCTTCAGATATAACTCAAAACTGTCACGGCATCAGAAAATTCACACTGGGGAAAAACCATATTCGTGTGAGGAATGTGGGCAAGCCTTCAGTCAAAATTCCCACCTTCTTCAACATCAGAAACTCCATGGTGGAGAGAGGCCCTATGAGTGTACAGAGTGTGGGAAAACCTTCAGCTACAATTCAAAACTGATTCGGCATCAGAAAATCCACACTGGGGAGAAGCCCTTTAAATGTAAGGAGTGTGGGAAGGCATTCAGATGTCGCTATGACTGCATCATCCACGAGCGAATTCACACTGGGGAGAAACCCTATGAATGTATGGAGTGTGGGAAAGGTTTCAGTTCTAATTCAGTCCTGATTCAGCATCAGAGAATCCATACTGGGGAGAAACCTTATGAATGTAAAGAGTGTGGCAAGGCCTTTCGCCGCAGTTCAGTATTTCTTCAGCATCAGAGGTTCCACACTGGGGAAAAACTTTACAAGTGTAATGAATGTTGGAAAACTTTTAGTTGTAGCTCCCGCTTCATAGTGCATCAGAGAATCCACACTGGGGAGAGACCTTATGAATGCCAGGAGTGTGGGAAGACATTTAATCAGAAAATCACCCTGGTTCAGCACCAGCGAGTTCACACAGGGGAGAAACCTTATGAGTGTAAGGAGTGTGGGAAAGCCTTCAAATGGAGTGCAAGTTTCATTCAGCATCAGAAGTTGCATATCAGGAAGAAACTTGTCCAGGGTACAGGGCCATCTGCAGTTAAGCTCCACTGCCCCTCTCCAGTGCTCTCCCCTTTGCCTCACCAGAGTGTGTGCTCTGCCTCAGCCCTACCGGGGCCTCCCCCATCTTCTCCACGTGCCGAACTACTTCCTCCCTCTGTGCCTCTCTTCCTGCTGCTCTCTTCACCTGCAATGGCCAACTCTTCACCCGTCCAAATAGTACATTTCTTTCAGGATCTCGTTTCATCTGTGAAGTCATCTCCTTATAGGCTGAATCTTTTGTCTCACTCCCCGTGAGTTCCCTCATGTGCTCAACTCCCATTGCATCTCAAGTTATCAGGGTTTCCACTGGGCTCTTGATCATGTCTGTATTGGTCTTTCTTATATAAGTCATTATTATTTTCCCAACTTCATTTTAAGTTCTCAGACTGAAGGACCATGCTTGATTACTCTCTTTTATCCCCTGGGTAGGAAATGGCAATATTTGCTATTTATAGTATACAGTTTTGGTTTATGCTATGAGTCTGCATCTGTCTTCTGGGGCTACTGGAGTTGGATGAGTTTGCAGAACACTTTAGGTTTTAGGGGATATGGCATTATGATGGGATGGACCATTGTATAATAATTAGAAATATAGAAGAAATGCAAAGCCTGTGGAGGGAGGTAATCAGAGAAAGTATGCAGTGATTGCTTTTAGGATTTAAGGAGGGCCATTTGGTGGACCAGTGATAACGTTCACTGTGGGGAGAATCTGAGCCTTGGAGTTTTATTATCCTGATAGTGACTATTATGAGGGCCCTGTATAACTACGTGAAAAGAAAATGAAGTGATGAGTTGGCACAGATAGTAATAACGTAAAACCATGTCTTTAAACTTGATTGGAATGGGATGTGGTTTTTCAGTTTGGGTTCCTTTTCTATTCCCATTCATATCTTTTTTTCAATTTCAGTGCCCACTCAAATATATAAGTTAAAAAGTGACTTGGGCTTGTGCAGTTTTGGGTAGGCATCTGAGTATAGTAATCTCTATAATTATACATAGACTGACCTTGTTGGGATCACGCTGGTGAGGACCAGAGGCAAAGAGGAGAAACCTCACTGTGACTCTCTGTAGCTCCTGCCTCAGCAGGGAGTCCATTCCTGATGAATTATTGTACAGGCACTTGGATATGTTCTCACATCTACTCCAGATCCCCTAGGATTAAATCTCAATTTGTGATTGGTGGTGCTTTTAAATGAACTTCATAACGAACTGTTTTGGGAACACCAAGAAGTATTTTAAGCATGCTAATTGCTTTGTTTTGATTGTCCCCACCAAAACTCATGCTGAAACTCAATCCCATTGTAACAGTTTTAAGAGAGGGGCCTATAAGAGGTGACTAGGATTAGATAAGGTCCTCAGGGTAGGGCGCCCATCATGGGGCTGGTGGCTTTATAAAGAGAGGAAGAGCATTCTGAACTGAGATGCACTTGCTCTGTCTCACCACGTGATGTCTCCCATCATGTCATGACAGCAAAAAACCCCTCACCAGATGCTTGCACCTTGATAATTCGACTTCCCTTCCTCCAAACCTGTGAGCTAAATAAACCTATATTCTTTATAAATTGCCCAGTGGTATTCAGTTATAGCAACACAAAACAGAATCTAAGACAGAAAATTGATAGCAAGAAGTAGGTAGGGTTGTTGCTCTAACGGATACCTGAAAATGTGGAAGTTGTTTTGGAACTGAATAATGGGTAAAGGTTGGAAGAATTTGGAGGAGCAGACCAGAAAAAGCCTGTATTGTCTGAATGGAGCATTAAGGGTGGTTCTGGTGAGGGCTTGGAAGAAGAGAAGATTGGGGAGCAGGTCTGGAACTTCTTAGAAATTACAGTTGACCCTTGAACAACATGAGTCTAAACTGCACAGGTCCACTAATATGTGGATTATTTTCAACAAAAGTTATACCAAGTGTGCCTGCCTCTCCTTTCACCTCCTCCACTTCTTTCTCCTCTGCCACTTCTGCGACAGCAGGACCAACCCCTCTTCTATCTCCTCAGCCTATTCAACATGAAGATGATGAGGATGAAGACCTTTGTGATAATCCGCTTTCACTTAATGACCAGTAAATATATTTTCTCTTCCTTATGACTTTCTTAATAACATTTTCTTTTCTCTAGCTTACGTTATTATAAGAATACAGTGTATATATAACACATACAGCATACAATATGTGTTAATTGACTATTAGTAAGGTCAACAGTAGGCTGTTAATAGTTAAGTTTTTGGAGAGTCAAAACTTATACACAGATTTTTGATGACACAAGGGTTGGCACCCCAAGCCCCAAATTGTTCAAGGGTCAACTGTACTTAAATGGTAGTGACCAGAATATTGATAGAAATATAGGCAATAAAGAGCCATTCTCAGATGGAACTGAAGAACAAGGTATTGGAAACTGGAGCAAATGCTATCCTTGTTAAAAAGTAGCAAAGAACTTGGTTGACCTGTGTCTGCGTGCCAAGAACTTTATGTAAGGTGGAATTTAAGAATGATGAACTAGGATATGTGGCAGAAGAAATATCTATGCAGCAAAGCATTTAGACTGCTGCATGGCTACTTTTATAGTAAAATGAGAGAGGAAAGCTGATTTAAAGACAGAATTTATAATTAAAAGAGAAGCCGAGTGAAAAGATTTGGAAAATTCTCAGACTGGCCTTGTAGTACAGAATAAAAAAGCATTTTTAGCAGAGGATACCAAGGGTGTGAACAACTGACCAATTGATAAGAAGATTGGTATGGATAAAACGAAGACAGAGGCTATTCATCAGGATGATGACAGAAAACCCCAAAGGCATATTATGTTAGTACATAACCTCTGTGGTACTTTAGGTGTTAAAAATAGAGGAATATTCAGCTCTTGCCCCATGTTATAAAAAAAAAAAATAGAGGAATATGATATCATTCTTTTTAATGCAGGGACTAGTGTTGCCAGGTTGTCTGGCACTTAATACTCAGGAATTTTCTGACAAGGGCGATGAGTGGTTTATGATGGGAAAAAATGTGTAAAATAAACTCATACATTAGAAAAGGTGTATGGGTATCATATTACCTGAGTTGTGAAGTTTTCAGACTTTTGCCTTTACCAGTGACTTAGCTAAGTATGTTAGGAATCTGTTTTAAAATGGCAGAAATCTACTTGAATTAACATAAGCACACTTGATTTACTGTAAGGATTCCTGTGTGTACCTGGCCACCAAAAGGCAAGAATGCAGCCAGGTCTGGAGCCTGGAAAATCCAAGCAGTGAAGAACAATAGGCAGCATACTCAGGCTCAGGCTCAGCTCTTTCCTCACTTCTGATCCCCCCTCCCTCCTTCGCTTTCCTGCTTTCTCTGTTCTTAGGCACGGGTAGAATTTGCCAGAGGTCCCAAGTTTACACCTCCATTCCAGAGACCAGCCCAAACTGAGTTAGAATCTCCTAGACTTAATTAAAAATTGGCAGGAGAGAGAATATGATTTGCCCAGTTTAGGTTAGGTGTTCACTTCTGGTCTACTCCTATGGCCAGGGGGCCTGGGTCAAGTAATATAAATGGGGATTCCAGGGCTTGTGCTGTTGGTGAAGGGGTGGTTAACCAGGCTGATCAGACACTCAGAAGGTGTAGCTAGCTGCTAAGTTCTTATATCACAACCTCTTCCCTTCTGTTGTTCCATGCCTCCTGACAACTAAGATAACCAAAGCTTCAGGATATGTTTTTCTCTCCTCTCTGGAGGCTTTTAGAAACTTATCTTTGATAGTTATGCCTTGGCGTTTATCATACTCCATTAATGTTTTTTGGCTCAGATATCAAAGTGAGGTCTCTGCATTCCGCTCTGTACATTCAGCTCTTCCTTTATTGATGGCTTGTGACAGCCAGGCATCGGTGGAAGAGCTGGTGGGGTTATGGGAAGTGGGGATGTGGTCTCCCCTGATTTCTTTTGGACTTTTTCTTTGGGGTAAACAGGCACTTCTTGCTGTGGATTAGTGAGGGTGACTCTCTGTGGCTCTTGGGTCTTTCGCTTTGGGATATATGTGTGTAGAGAGCTCAGGAATTGCAAGGTTGGCTTTCTGGCTATAGCTCCCCAACTGGTTCAATTCTGGTTAATAGTTCTCCCTGGTTTTCATGTGGCACATGTTTCAATCTAAGGTCAGTCCTTTACCAACATTGAATAATTCGCACTAGAAGAAAGCCATACAATTATAAAGAATGTGGAAAAGCCTTTGTATACAACTGAGAACTTGCACAGCACCAGATAAGCCACATGGGGAGAAATCATACTCATGTAAGAAGTGGACAAGTTTTCAATCAAAACACCCACCTTCTTCAGTGTCAGAAAAGTTGATGGTGGAGGGCAGCTGTACGAATGGACACAGTGTGGAAAAAACTTAAGTTCCAAAGTTGCCTTGACTCACCCTCCAATAAAAATGTCTTGGGTGAGAGTGGAGACACTTGCTTGGTTTACAAATATGTAATGAGGGCAAATCATGCTGGTTATTAAATTGACAGGTCTAGCTCTGCAGTAGGGTGCCCTGACAAGTCTTTGAGGATGGAGTGGTTTTGAAGACTGGCAGAGGCAGAGCCTGAACAGTATTCATCCCAAGGTATGAGAAATGTAATCTAATACCAAGGCTCCAGTATTCACAGGGCAGGCTATTGGATCATTGACTGACATCTGTCTCCAGGCTGGGCCTGAACAGACATCTGGGTATAGGGTAAGAAAAGGCTTTAGGATAAGATAGGTCAAACATTAACAGCCCTTTCCCTAAACCGTGCCACATGTTGGAGCCTCAGCAGCACCTGTTTTGTGTCTTCAAAAGCAGATAACACAATTAGAAAACAAAACAAACTTACATGCACTTCTTATGTGCCAGGCACTACTGTAAATACTCAGCCAATCCATTGACTCATTTAATTAATTAACCATGAACAGCCTCTTGAGGTTGGTACCACCATCACACCCATTTAATCCACAAAGAAACAGAGGCAAAGAAACTTGCTGCAGGTCACGCAACTATCAAGTTATCCCGCTGACAGGTCTAGCTCTGAGGTGCCTTGAGAAATCTTTGAGCATGGGATGGTTTTGAAGACTGGCAGAGGAGTGCTGCTAGGTTTCTGGACCTAGGTGGTCAATGCACATTTGGACATTTGGCCTTTTGAGTGCTGGGCCCTACTTTTCAACGCCCACTCTTCCCCCTGCTGCAGCGCAGCCACAGAACCCAGGCGGCTTCCACACATGTGGCGCAATGGCCACCTCAGTACCTAGAAGGGCAGCCAGAGCGACAAGCGCCAGAAAACTCAGGACTGTAACCGTTCTGTGGCCTGAGCTGGCCGGACGGCACCCCCCGAAGGAGCTCCTAGGTGGGGGTGCTGCAGGACCCCAGGCAGGAGAGTGGCCAGTACTGTCGCCAGGCGGAGGGACACTGGCGGTTGCGGGGGCCGCGGGGGGTAGTGGTGGGTAGGGAATCACAGAGACGGGCAACTGCCCAGGTTCCTAGAGGGGAAGGGAATGGTAAAGCGCACTTCCGGCCGAGAGCCGGCGGCAGGTGGCGGTTCCCGCGCCTTCTCTGCTCCTGAGCCGCGCGAGTTAGCGGCGGCCGCGGAAGGGGGTCGGGGTCCGGGTAACGGATTCTCTTCTCCCGGGCGTGTTCTACCTGGTTCTCCAACCTCTGTGCTTTTGGAGCGAGGGGGTGGCCGGACGGAGAGGGACCCAGGTCGGGCAGAGGGCGTTTGCGGGTGCGAGGCAGCATCAGTCTCACCTGTGCCTCTTACTTTCTCAGCAGTCTCGCTTCTCGGAACCCCGAGGGAGTGTGAGGAGCGGGGCCGCCAGCCATGCCCCAGACGCCTTGGCGCCAGGTGAGCGAGCATCCTCTCGGCCTCTGTTGCCTTCCTTTCCGACCCTCCATCCTCTGCGTTCAGCTCTTCAGTTGTCTAGGCCTGTGGCTTCCCTTGTGCGTCCGTCACTGTGAGGGGGGCGGAGAGGTGAGAGTGCCCCTATTAAGACATGCCTGGGATGGGAAAAACTAGTGAGCGTGGGCGGATTGACGGGGACTGGTTTGGCGATTGTAGCCAGCCAAAAATAATTCTCCTGAAATGTGGAAATCGATATCACTGCGTACCATGAAGACCCCTTTCACCCCTATACACAAGGTTGGAGAAGGCTTTACTTGGGTACAGCAAGTCTAATAATTATTTTGTAGTATCCATTGGATTTTCTACATAGACAGGTTATCTATGAGTAAGACAGTTTTACTTCTTTCCAGTCTGGATGCCATTTATTTTTTCTTGCCTCATTGCACTGGTTAGATCCTTCATTTCAATATAGAATAGGTGAGAGCAGATATCCTTGTTTTATTCATGATTAAAGGGTGGAAAGCAGTCTTTCACTGTTAAGTCTGATATTCACTGTAGACTTTTTTTTTTTTTTTAAATAAATGCCCTTTATCAGGTGAAGGAAGTTCTATTCCTACTATTCCTAGTTTGCAAGAGTTTTTGAGAGAATAGGATGTTGCATTTTGACAAATGCTTTTTCTATTTAGATGATCATATGATTTTTCTTTTTTACTTTTTTAATATGGTGAATTACACCTCAAACCACACTGGGGAAAGGAGCCCAAAGGGACACATGGGCACACAGCAAGGCAGAGCGGAGTTGACAGAGAGATCACCAGGTGAAGGCAGAGCTGTTTGCTGGGGATGATCACAAAGGGGTACAGTGACTGTTGGGCTCCCCTGTTGGTGGGGGCAGTGCTGGCTGAGGGCTTGCCCCTGGCAGGGTACTGAATAGCTGTTCTTGGCAATACCACTAGACCCAGTAGGTCTTTACCCTACTACTTATTCTGTCCTCTGCCCTCATACAGAGCTTCAGCAGGAACCTATTGTTTCAGGAACCAGTGACCTTTGAGGACGTGGCTGTGTACTTCACCCAGAATGAATGGACCAGCCTGGATTCTGTGCAGAGGGCCCTGTACAGGGAGGTGATGCTGGAAAATTATGCAAATGTGGCCTCCCTGGGTAAGAAGACATCTCTTCTCCTTGCTTTTGTAAGCCTCTGCCCTTTGAGCTTCCTGGCTTCCTTCTTCCTTAGAAGAAAGGGGTCTCTAATAACCCTCAGGGGAAGTTGCCTTGAGGGGTGAGCCCCTCAGACGTTACTAGGTGTGAAGAGCCCGGTGTTCCCAGGTTTTGAAATCAGCTGTCCCTCCAACCCTGGGAGGGGCTGTACCCCAATCAAGGAGGGAAATTAGGAGCTCTTGGGAGCTCAGCAAAGCCTCTTGTGCCTGTGTCTTCCAAGATTTCTGAAGACCACTTAGGACTCCCTCATGTGAATATGGGATTATTCTGGGACTCTGCTGCCCTTTTGGGGAATTTTCTGACATCTAAGAGCACAGACTTAAGTTTCTCCCTAATTTCACTTTATCCCTCACTGCCTGGCTCAGCAGAGAAAGATAAAGGGGGCTGAGCGGGGACCCTGCTTCATGATTCCCTTTACCTTTTTGTATCTGTTTCTTTCTCCCTGAGCAGCTTTTCCATTCAACAGACCTGTACTGGTCTCCCAGCTGGAGCAAGGGGAACTGCCATGGACCCTCGATCCCTGGGAACCTGTAGGCAGGGAGGTCCTCAGAGGTGTCTGTCCAGGTGAGCATGGTAACCTATCAGCTGCCTTTTTTGCTTAGCCTCCATTCTTGTTTTCACATTTCAATGTGTTAGAGTGTTTCTTCTCTTGGGAGATTTTTCATTCCTATGGAATCATTACATGTGATTCTGTGAGTTCATGGTGGTAGCCTACCTCAAATGCAGAAGGGCCACAGTCTCTTCCAAGACAGGCATGATGACAAGATTTCTTTGCATGATCATCTTTGCCCCTTCTCCTCACAACCTGCCAAGGTAGACTGTCTGACTGAACAGCACTTAAACCAGCTGTTTCCTTCTTGGTCACGTGGAAACATCTTATTTTTTTCCACCAAATTGCTTTTGTAGTCATGAGGATGTCAGCCACCTTATGGGGAAAATGGGCCTCTGGCAGCCTATCTAGCCTTCTGTATATCATAGAGTACATTAATTCTGTGAAAACCGAATTATGAGTTTCTAAGCACTGACTTAACACATAAAAATTTCATTTTTATAATGGAAAATTTCAAACATATGCAGACACCAGCATAATGCACTCCAAGTATCCCTTACCTAGCCTCAACATACGCCAGTGTCTTGCCATTCTTGTTTCATCTTTCCCCCACAGACACTTAAAAAAAATTTCTTTTAAAAGCTGAACTTTCAAAGCAAAATTTATTGTAAATTAAAGGTGAATAGCTTTCCCATTTTGACAGCTATTGATACATGGATTAAAAATAAAACATACTGTATTTTCTTATCTTACTCTGCTTGAATCCTTTTCTGCCTGTTACAATTCCCTGTGCTCTTTAGACTCTTTGCAGAGAATGCCCATTACTGACGCACCCCTCAGTCTTGTGTTAAAGTTGTGCCTTTCTGGATATGACCTCAGGGCTTTAGGCTATCTGGATAAAATATATTTTCTGAACAATTTGCTTAGGAACACATGAGGTTCTGCCCTGGCCCAGTGCTGAAGATTTTGTTAGTCTGCAGAAATCCTCAATAGTGGAGGGAAAATAGCTTTTAGTTTTCCCTTACTATGATGTTAGTTTAGTATTTCACATTTCATACTGTTGTGTTAAACAAATGCACGTCCTATATGACCTTTTAGGAAAACTGGCAAGAATCATTACCTGGTCCTCTCTGGCACTTGTGTCTATTCTTGGAAGAGTTCTTCGTATTTCCAGTTCTCTTTTATTTTAGAGGCAAGCCTCCAAGCCTTCTCCTTTCCTTCTGGACGCTGTGGTGTTTGCCAGGCATGGTCCCTCCGCCACAGCATAGCGGCCAGCTACTTTACCAGAGCTGGCTTGATGGTAGAGATCACTTCTCCTTTCAAAGATTATATGACATGGATAATATTTTTTAGAAAGCAGCTGTTAAGGAATTTCAGCCTGGGAGACTGTTGGAAGTGCTTGAGCTGCTTGACCTGCCCCTTCTCCCGTCTCAGTGGTCTTCCTTCCACCTAAGGGTCTCTCTAGTTGTCACTTCTTTTTGTCTGCACTTTTACCCACACCATTCACTTTTCTCTCAGTTTTTCTGCCCTAGTTAACAGTCTTTGCTGTTTTCCAGCATTCACACTCTTTATGGGAATGCCTCCTGGCCTTGCTTGCCTGCCTCTGATAGAGTCTTTATGTCACTCATGGGGCTCTGTTATATGGTGATCTTAGGTAGTCATTTTGCGGGCATATTAGAAAATATCCATATACTCAGGTCATGTTAGAACCACATGATCCTGTTTCCCCTTCAGCACAGGTATTTTCTTTTTGTAATATCAGGGGCTGACACTGTATTTTCTCTTTGTGATATCAGGGGATCAGACCAGAACCGAGAAGGAAGGATTAGCTCCAAAGGAACACACGTCCAAAGAAACCGAGTCCCTCAGACTGACATTGGGAGGACTGCCAGGGAATGGTCCCCAGTACCTTGACTTTGGGAGCAGCCTAGAGCAGCCCCAGGGTCATTGGATAATTAAGACAAAGACAAAGAGGAGAGGGTTCACAGATGGATCAACCAGGTTTCGTGATACCTGTGCCATCAAGAGTGGAGACAAGTGTGAGAAATTAGGGAAAAATGTTAGTGTTGGCACACAACTCACTATGAATCAAACAATTCCTAGTGGTCAGATATCTTATGAATGTGGAAAATGTGACAGATATTTCAGTCAAATGGCAGACTTCCACCGACATCAGAAATGTCACACTTGTGAAAAGTCTTTTGAATGCAAAGAATGTGGAAAAGAATTCAGATATAACTCCTTACTTATTCGGCATCAGATAATTCACACTGGAAAGAAACCATTTAAATGTAAAGAATGTGGAAAAGGTTTAAGTTCAGACACCGCTTTGATTCAGCATCAGAGAATCCACACTGGAGAAAAGCCCTATGAATGTAAGGAGTGTGGCAAGGCCTTCAGTAGCAGCTCGGTCTTCCTCCAGCACCAGAGGTTCCACACTGGGGAGAAACTCTATGAATGTAACGAATGTTGGAAAACTTTCAGTTGTAGCTCAAGCTTCACTGTCCATCAGCGAATGCACACCGGGGAGAAACCCTATGAATGTAAAGAGTGTGGGAAACGATTAAGCTCCAACACCGCCTTGACTCAGCATCTGCGAATTCACACTGGGGAGAAGCCCTTTGAATGTAAGGAGTGTGGGAAGGCATTCAATCAGAAAATAACCCTGGTTCAGCATGCGCGAATTCACACTGGTGAGAAACCTTATGAGTGTAAGGTGTGTGGGAAAACCTTCAGCTGGTGTGGAAGATTCATTCTGCATCAGAAACTACACACAAAGAAAGCATCTGTACAAGCATAGCACTCTTCACAGTTAGGCTCACTGTGCCTCTCCTTGTTTCTGTTTTCATGCTGTTTATTAGTGTTCTCACCATCTTTCCTGGACTGTGCTGATTCTCAACCATATGCTTTTGTTCACATGACTGCATATCTTTAATGTCCACTTTTCCACCTGTCCAGTCAGTCATATGTTTAATCCAGACTCTTGGCTTCCATCATGAAATGTTCCTCAAATTCTGTAAGCCCTTGTCTCCCCACCATGAACTCTCTTTACAGTTAGAAAAAAACGAAAAAACTAAAAAAAACAACTCCCAAATTTACAAACATAAAAGGAAATGTAAGTTTCCAGATTTAAAGGATATGCAAGATAGATTGGGGGGGAAACCTACATAAAGAACATCACTGTAAATTATGAAAACACCAGGTTTGAAGAAGAGATCGTAAAAAATTTCTAGAGAGAAAAAACCAAAAGATCAGAAATGAGAATGGCATTAGATTTCTCAACAGCAACCTTAAAGTTAGATGAAAATGGTGTATTCCTTCAAAATTCTAGTGGAAAATGATTTCCCCCTAGAATTTTTTGCCCTCGAGTATAGTAAAGAATAAAGGCGTTTCCTACCCTTTAGATTTCAAACCTTTATCTCCCATGCATCCTTTCTCAGATGTGCAACACTAAACAAGAGATAAACCAGGAAATGAAAAGACAGATATGTGGACACCCTATTACAATCTATATATCAGAATTCTCCTAAATTCAAAAACAGAAGGGCCCAGTCCTTGTGGAGCCATATGCATCTTGGAGGAAGGACATCCCTACGAGGGTGCAGACTTCAGAGGCCTACCTCTGGTGCAGTATTCACTCACCCTACTTACTCTACAGTTAGCCTTCACTACTCAATTGCAGTCTGTGCCTTTGCAAAAGTCAGGGTGTATATACCCTTTGAGTCAGATGCAAGGCCCTATTTGTCTTAAATTTATTCATCTCATTGCTGTTCCAAGTGACCTCAAAGAAGGAAACATTTTCTTGCAACTCCATCTAGATATTTTTTATGATCATGAGAGAACCTACCATTATTTCTCTTACCTAAGGACATGAAGGAGGGTGTAAATGTGTTTTGTTTTAGCATCAGCTTGATTTTGCAGGCAGCTTGATTTTGACCATTGCAGGAAGCACAAGGTAGTGGTTAATAATACAGAGCCAGGCAGACTTTGAACCCAAGTGTGTGACCTTGGTTAAGTTACAGAAACTCTGTGTATTAATTTCCTTGTCTGTGAAATGGGGATGACAGTCAATCTACCTCATAGATTTGTGTTGAGGCTTAAATGCATTAATATATGAAGAAGTTCTTCAAATAGTGACTGGTGCATAATAAAGTGTGACCTATTATTATAATGCTATTGATAAGATTTGACTTATTAATATATCAGCGCAACAATCACAATCGAGATATAAACAGCCATCTCCCCCAGAATTTGCTTGTGTCCCTCTGTAATCCATTCCATTTGGCCTTCTACAGACAGCCATTCATCTGCTTTCTGTCACTTTGGATTAATTTTTTCTGTCACTTTAGATTAGTTTTCCTTTATTTTTTGGCGTGATGTCTTTCACTCAGGGTAATTATTTTTAGATTCACCCATGTTGTTGCATATATCAATAGTTCATTCCTTTTTTATTGCTGAGTAGTAGTCTACTGTATTGGTATTTCCACAATTTGTTTATCTGTTGACCTGTTTATGGCTATGTGGGTTGTTTCCAGTTTTTTGCTATTATAAATAAAGCTGCTATGAACATTTGTGAACAAGTCTTTGTAAGAATATATGTTTTCAGTTGTCTTAGATAGATACCCGGAGTGGAATGGGTAGTTTGTTAGGCAGGCCAGGTGTATATTTAACTTTTTGAGAATCGTCAAAACTGTTCTACAAAAAAGATTGTGCCATTGTACGTTTCCACCAGCATTGTATGAGAGTTTCATCACTTCTAATATATCTTTGTCTATACTTGATATTGTCAGTTTAAAAAATTTTAGCTATTCCAGTTGTTTAATGCTAACCTGTTGTGGTTTGAATTTGCATTTCTCTAATGATTGATGATGTTGAGCATATTTTCATGTGCTTATTTATTTTCCATGTATCTTTGATGAAGTGTCTGTTTATATCTTTGGCCTTTGTTTTTATTGGGTGGTTTTCTTTTTATTAATCTTTGGGAGGTCTTTATATGTTTGAGATGCATATCCTTTTCAGATATGTGATTTCTAAATATTTTCTTCTAGCCTGTGGTTTGTCTTTTCATTCTCTTAACAGTGCCTTTTGAGAAGCAGATGTTAGTGTTGATGAAGTCCAATTTATCAGTATGTATTTTTATGCATCATGTTTTCAGTATAATATCTGAGAAATATTTGCCTTACCCAAGTTTACAAAGATTTTTTGCTGTTTTTCCTTCTGGAAGTTTTATAGATTTAGGTTTCTACATATTCTTTACATTCCATTTTGAGTTAATTTTTGTATAGGGTGTGAGGTATAGATCTAAGTACTGTTCTTTTTTTTTCCACATGGATATCCTATTGTAGCACCATGTTGCCCGGGCTGGATTACAGTGGTTATTCACAGATGTGTTCAAAGTGCACTGCACCCTTGAACTCCTAGACTCAGGTGATCCTCTTGCCTCAACTTCCTGAGTAGCTGGGACTATAGGCATGAGCCTCTGTGCCCAGCCTGTAGCACCATTTTCTGAAAGTAATTCATTCTCCACTGAATTGCTTTTGTACCACTGTTGCAAATCAGATGTCCATATATGTGTAGGTCTGTTTCTAGATTCTATTCCATTCCATTGATCTGTTTGTCTGTCTTGACGCCATTAAGGCATTGACTTAATTACTGTTATTTCCTACTGTGTTGTAGTCATATAATGTTAGTCCCCAACTTTGTTTTTTGTCAAAGTATTTTGACCATTCTAGGTCCTTTACATTTCCATATGAATTTTAGAATCAGCTTTTCAGCTTCTACAAAACACCTGGAGGGCCAGCCTAGGTGACTCACGCCTGTAATCCTAGCACTCTGGGAGGCTGAGCAGGAGGATCTCTCAAGGTCAGGAGTTTGAAACCAGCCTGAGCAAGAGTGAGACCCCATCTCTACTGAAAGTAGAAAGAAATTAATTGGACAACTAAAAATATATAGAAAAAATTAGTCGGGCATGGTGGCGCATGCCTGTAGTACCAGCTACTCGGGAGGCTGAGGCAGAAGGATTGTTTGGGCCCAAGAGTTGGAGGTTGCTGTGAGCTGGGCTGACACCACGAACTCTAGGCTGGACAACAGAGTGAGACTGTCTCAAAAAACCACAAAAAACTCCTGGGATTTTGATTTTGATTGCATTTAATCTATAGATATTTGGTGGAGAACTGATAACCATATTGTTTTTTGACCCATGAGGAAGGGAGGCTGAGCATTAAAAGAACAACTTTTTTATATTCAGGAAAGGAAAAGACTGTTCTTTTCTTGTTTGTTGGGACTTGGGACTTTGGGCAAAGAACAGTCTTTTCTTTTTCTGAATATAAAAAATAAATTCTTTTAAGTCTCAGCCTCTCTTCCTCACCGTTTTTGTCTTCCTGTAGTTAAACTTACTGGAGAGACTATAAGGAATTGTTCAGATCTTTATTTGTGGAAGTATGATTTTTTTTTTAAAGCCAGTGTTACCATTTAAGTTTATTTAAGCGCCCGTTACTAGGCAGAAAAATAGCTCTATGAATTTTTGTAATCTATTGGAAAAAGCTAAGTACAGGACATTTAGGGTGTCCTGTCAAAGTCAATACAGGACAAAATCCTTTAATATAGCACACATCCTGTGTACAGAGAATGCCTGGCAACCGTATTCACCGTTATTTTGTTTGCTAAATGAATCTGGCCTAAAAGGTCCACGCACGTCTAAGTCCTAGGAAGGGAGAGGGCTAAAAGGGCAAGAAACCATGGTTTTCTTCAAGACCAGGCAGGATTCCTGGTTTGGGCTTCTTAGAGATGACACACAGGCGCCATTCTCCCACACCTGCACAGCCTCAGGTGACCCGCGAAGTACAGGCGGCCGACAGCTGAGGGGCCGTGCGTTAACTGGGACCCCACTCTTACCTAGAGGCCGAGGTCTGGGTAGAGCCAGGCTGTATCAGTGCTGTGACTTCCCAGCCCGAAGCTGTACCATCCGCTGTCGCAGGAGGAAACACGAGCAAAGAGAGCGCCGCAACCCAGAGGCCGCCGTAGCAGCCCGGCCACTTCCGCCCGGTGGGGCGAGTCACGTGGGGCTGGACCGCGGGGACGACCGAGATGGGTGGCCTCCGGGGGGCCTAGAGAGCCCCCGGTCGCGCGCCCGTCCTTCCGGATCGGCGTGTAGATACCCAGCTTTTCGGTGTTCTGAGAGGAAGAGCGTGGGTATCAGTGAGTTCTGCGTGCTAGGTTCGCCTGGTGCCGGGTTCTTCGCGGTCTCTGGCGGCTGGTCAACCTCCCCGTCCCCTGAACTTGGTCCTGATGGCGGCCCGCCCCTCCCTCGCCCGGAACTTGGGTATCTGGGCCTCGCCGAAGCCGCCCGAGGTGGCTATGCGGCCTTCTAGAGCTGAGGTCCAGCCCCTGGCCACCGCGGCGTGATCTTCTTTTCTGCCCTAAAGAACTGTCGCGACAGCCTCCTGCGGCGCCCGGTATTGACGTTTGTGGACGTTTCTGATGTTTGGGGTCTCCTGCTTCCCTTGATGCAGTGTTTGTTAAGACCCCTTTTGGGTTGAGTCTCTGGTCAGCATCACCCACTGAGACACTGAGTCTTTTACCCTTAATCTGCATTCAGCTACCTCTGAATGTGGTATATTCATTGCCTCCTCTCCAGAGGCACTCTTTCTGGGGCCAGTGCTATGGTCCCTGTAAGCATTCTGTAAAAACTCTTTACATTTGTACAGACCCAAGACATTAGGGTCAGGGTACTTTTATCCCTCAATTTCCTCTGTTTGAACGGGGGTCAGAATGCCCTTGGGGCTGAGCAGGCAGAACAATTGCAAAGGAGATTGGGGTCTGTCAGTGTGGGAACAGCCAGAGGGGGCCTAAAGAATCTCCGTCCAGTGCTGGAAATGTGGACACAGGGAGGTTGCTTTGGTGACGCAGGGCAGGGTCCATAGCACTTATGGCTCTTCTTCTGTTATCTCTTAAGGATCTTGCTTTTCTAAACCCAGAAGACAGTGTATGAAGCCAGGGGACTTCAATCATGCTTCAAACAACTTGGCCTCAGGTGAGCTGAGCTTCCTTTCAGTCTTTTTTACTTACATTGGCTAACAGGAAAGGCTGAAGGAGGCCTAACTTGACCAAGCTGTGGTTTCTCCTTTGAGTCTATCCCTAGGATTATGACTGATGTAAGTATATGGTAGGGGTAACAAAAGTTTTGTGTATGGAGAGTAGTGACCTTGGATGTGTAGATTTAAGTGGAAGAAAGGGAGCCCAAGTCAAGAAATTCTTCCTGAATGTGGAAATCCAGATCATGTTCTAAAAAGTCATCTGCTGAAGTCAGAGAAATTCTTCATTGAAGAGATTGTCCCGCCAATTGTGGATGTATCTCAGTGAGACCAACATTGTTCTTTCAGTATATTCTAAATGCTAGATGCAAAGGCCCTGAAGTGAGGGAGAAAGCTGGGTATGCTCCAGAAACAGGAAGAGGTCAGAGAAAGTGGTCAGTATGCGATGGGATAAGTAAGTACAGGTATTGTAGGTCATGGTGAAGACTTTGGTTTCTGTTCTAGTTCAGTGGGAAGACACTGAAAGTTTTAAGCAGGGGGGACGTGGTTGGATTTATATTAATATATTAAAAAGATTTTTCCAGCCCTTCATGGCAAATTGGTTTGGAAGGGTGTGAGTCAGTTAAGAGAATATTGCAGTCCAGGTAAGATATTAAGTATTATTTTAATTATTTGTTTTTAATAGTCTTTATTTTTTAGAACAGTTTTCGGTTCACAGCAAAATGAAGTGGAAGATACAGAGATTTCTGATATACTCCCTGCCCCTACATACACATATACAAATTCTGATATAAGTTCAGATACAAGTTCTGGTATTAGCAGTATGCTAGTGTCTTTAAAAGAATGGAGATGCTTTCCTTCTTTCCATATTCTTTGTTATGTCCTAAATAGCACATGAGGTTTGATTTTGAAATAACTCACCCTTGAAACAATTTAAAACTGGCACTTTTTAAAAAATAGATTTTATTTTTACAGCAATTTTAGGTTCATAGCAAAATTGGGCAGAAAGCACAAAGAGTTACTTCCCATATACCTCCCATATACATCACACAATGCAGAGCCTCCCCCACTGTGAAGATACTGCACTATTGTGGTACATTTATTACAAGGAATGAACCTACGTTGACATGTCATCGTCTGATCTAAAGTCCGTAGTTTACATTAGGGTTCTCTCTTGGTGTTATCCATTCTATGGGTTTGGACAAATGTGTAATGACGTGTATCCACCATTCTATGGGTTTGGACAAATGTGTAATGACATGTATCTGGCATACTGCTGATACCAGAACTTGTATCTGAACTTATATCAGAATTTGTATATGTGTATGTAGGGGCAGGGAGTATATCAGAAATCTCTGTATCTTCCACTCAATTTTGCTGTGAACCTAAAACTGTTCTAAAAAATAAAGACTATTAAAAACAAATAATTAAAATAGTACTTAATATCTTACCTGGACTGCAATATTCTCTTAACTGACTCACACCCAAACCAATTTGCCATGAAGGGCTGGAAAAATCTCTTTAATAATATAAATTCAACCACGTCCCCCCTGCTTAAAATTTTCAGTGCCTTCCCACTGAACTATATAGTACCATACAGAATAGTTTCACTGCCCTAAGAATCTCTTGTGCTCCTCCTGTTCATCCCTCCCTCCTCCTTAACTGCTGACAACCATCGCTTGATCTTTTTACTCTCCCTGTAGTTTTGCCTTTAGCAGAATGCCATAATAGTTGGAATTATACAGTGTGTAGCCTTTTCAGATTGGCTTTTTTCTCTTAGTTGTACGCATTAAAGTTTCCTTCGTATCTTTTCATGGCTTGATAGCTCATTTTGTTTTAGTGTTGAATAGTATTCCATTACTATTTGGATGTACCACAGTTTATTTATCCATTCACCTGCTGAAGGACATCTTGGTTGCTTGCAAGTTTTGGCACTGGGCTACTATAAATGTCTCTGTGCAGATTTTTGGGCAGACAAAAATTTTCAACTCCTTTGGTTAAATACCAAGGAGCGTGATTGCTGGATTGTACGGTAAGAGTATGTTTAGTTTTGTAAGAAATTGCCCCAAACTGTCTTTCAAAGTGGCTGTACCATTTTGTATTTCTACCAGCAATAAATGAGAGTGGTGGATTTTATCGAATTCACAGGTAAATTTGGAGATAATTGACTTCTTTACAAATTTGATTCTTCCCATTCAGAAACACTGTATGTTCCAATATATTCAGTTATTTATTTATGTATCTTAGTAACCATTTAGTTTTCTTCCATCCTGGTTTTACACATTTCTGTTAGGCCTATTTGTAGCTATTTTTGTATGAATAACATCTTATTTTTTCTCATTATATTTTCCAATTATTTATGATAGTATTTAGGAAAGCTAATACTTTTGGTTTACTTCTTCATATATCTAGATAACTTAGTGAATTTTGTCAGTTGTAAATGTTTTCTATTTATTTTCTTGGCTCATAGACATCTTTAGGCAGATAGTTTTCTCTTTTTTTTTTTTTTTGAGACAGTCTCACTCTGTTGCCTGGACTAGAGTACCATGGCATCAGCCTAGCTCATAGCAACCTAAACTCCTTGGCTCAAGCAATCCTCCTGTCTTAGGCTCCCGAGTAGCTGGGCCTACAGGCATGCGCCCCCATGCCTGGCTAATTTTTTCTATATATTTTTAGTTGGCCAATTAATTCCTTTCTATTTTTAGTAGAGATGGGGGCTCTCGCTCTTGCTCAGCTTGGTTTCGAACTCCCAACCGTGAGCGATCCGCCCTCCTCCCCTCCTTCGGCCTCCCAGAGTGCTAGTATTACAGGCGTGACCCACCATGCCCAGCCACAGGCAGATAGTAATTTCATCTTCAAGCAAAGATATTTCTGTTCATTCTTTTCCTATATTTATGCTCTTTTTCCTGTCTTTTGCAGAAAGTAGAACCTCAGCTTATGATAAATTATCAGCCATCAACTTTAATGGATATGCTTTGGCATTTTATTGTTAAGGTGGTGTTTGTTGTTGGTTTCTTACCCTCCTCATAAATTTTAAAAAATTTTGTTTATGGTCAAACCATTTTCGAAATTAATTCTTTTAGCAAATGTATATTAAGCATTTAGTATGTGTCAGGCACTGTACTGTGTGCTAGTAAACCAGTCATGAGCAAACAGAATCCTTGCCTCATGGACTTACATTTTGGAGGGAGATAGACTATGTGTAGTAATACACACTGATGAGTAATACTATGGAGAAAAATACAATATGGTAAGGTACATAGGGGCCAGCCACAGAAGGAACAAAAAGATATCCAAAACCTAACTGCCTTAAAACAGTCAATTTATCCTTTAATATTATGCATTTTTTAGGACTCATGAAACTTGAGGACATTTGATGATAGGCAAGGACAGTTTGGGGAGGAAGAGATTGATGGTGGTAGGCTGGGAGAAGAAAGTTGTAAGAGAAGCTCTGGAGATGTTAGGGAGTGAGGTTGGACTTGCTGTAAGAGCAGGTGACATTTGGTTTTACCTGTGAGCCTGTGGCTGCTGTCTTCAGAAGCCCTTAATGCTTGTTGTTGAAGCAGTAATTACAGGACAACATGGTTCAGTCTGCTGTTTGGATTTTTGCTCACACTATTTTGGGGGGCCTCTAGACCTCATTATTGCCCAGTTTAAATTCTAGCTCTCCCTTTAGGAGTAACTAAATTTGATTTTTCCCTTTCAATATCTCCTTTAAATCTGCATTCTCAAGTTGCTCTTGATTTGAAGGAACTCCTCTCATGAGGACCTATGTGTAGAGCCATTGGAGCTGCTGTGAGCTGTTTTGAGTGTCAGAATTTATCCTTGGTGTATGTATGTTTCTTCCCTCCTTCCTTCAATAGTCGTTATAGCCACTTTCTCTTCTCCCTGTTCCCCTGTACTAACTCTAGGACACAGGCTGCTTTAGGGGTTACTGGAAGTCAGAATGTGACATGCTAGAGTTAGGTGCTTGCTTGTAGCCCCTGTTGGTAAGTAATTTCATTTTCAGTGGCTGAAAAGAACAAGGCTGACTGCATAGGGTAGTGGGAATCTCCATGGAGGTGGAAGCATCTGTGGGGGTATCAAGGTAAGAAGGTGCACAGGTCGTGAAACCCCCTCTAAGGTGAGAACCTGGTCTCTGTGGTGTGCACTATCCTGACTGTAGAAACAGAGAAAGTAGCCAGCGGACACCATCTGGGACTGCTCTGGGGCCTCATGGATTCAGATTCAGAGGCTCTGGTTTCCAGCATGGTGTGCACAGTTTTGAAAGAGCTGACCACCAGTCCAAATTGGGGGAGGGGTCGCATGTGGCCTGGAGGAAGTATGGTAAAGATGGAGTGAATGGTGATTTGGAGAGTTGGGGAGTTTGAGAAGCTGTTCTCCAGAGTTGGGGTAACATCAATTGATGATGAAGTTCAGGGTTAGCCATGTTTCTAGAGAAGTTTGTGAGCCCACTGTGGGAGACAGCTTGGTATATGAGTGGAGCCCAGGTTTGTTGTTGGACAGATCTGGGTTGAAATCCCAACTCTACCACTTTCTGGCTGTGTAATCTCTGGCAAAGTAATTAATCTTTTTTTTTTTTTTGAGACAAGATCTAGCTCTGTCACCCAGGTTGGAGGTGCAGTGGTGTGATCATAGCTCACTGAACTCCTGGGCTCAAGTGATCTTCCCGCCTCAGTTTCTTGAGTAGTTGGGACTATAGGTGTGCTGGCTAATTTTTTTATTTGAAGTTTTTGTAGAGACAGGGTCTTACTGTGTTGCCCAGGCTGGTTTCAATCCTCCTTCCTTGGCCTCCCAAAGCGCTGGGCTTATGGGCATGAGCCACTGTGCCTGGCCCAGTTAATCTTTTGAGCCTTAGTTGTATCATTTGGAAAATGGGAGTAATAATTCCTATTTCACATATGTGATGTAACGATTCAATGAAATACAAGATTTAAAATTTCCCCCTAAGAGCCTGGTGCACAGGGGCTAATCTATAAGTATTAGTTGCCTTTACTCTTGGGAAGATGGAGATGGGCCCAGGGGAAGTCAGAGAGGGCCATACTTAGGGAAGAAGATGGCCTTGGTAGGCATGATGGAGCTCAGAAGACTGGGGGATGGATCTGTGCCCAGGGACAGGGCACTGTCAACCTGTCTCTGAAGGCAGGTGGTTCAGAGAGGAGGGCCAGAACAGGCAGGCTGCAGGGTTCTTTCAAGAGAGCCAGCTTTCTGATAAGGCAGAAAGGTAGAAAAGAGAAATTTGCAAAATACTGGGGATATTTCTTTGTGCTCCTCTGCATGTCACAGGTGATGTTAAGGAAGATCAAAGAGAAGAAGGGTGCAGGGAACGAATGGGGCCTGTGTGTGTTGTGTGCACTTTGGATGTGTGGAGACAGGGTGTGTGGCAGCTGTCTGATGCAATTGGGGCATAGAAAATAAGGTGATAGAATTAGGGAGTATACATGAGGGTAGGAGGTTCCAGAGGGACAGATCTGTGATGCCAGAAACATAGATGTTGATGAAGTTACCAGGGAAAGAGTACCCAGAGGCCAGTCTGTCTGTGAGTTTGGGATAGCAGTTTGGGGCCCCCTAGGTGTGCATATGGGAGAATACTAGGGTTCCCCATTTGAAAGTGGGAACACTGGCTGAGTGCTGACCCCTGGCTGGGGTACTAGGTGCTGTTTTTGCTGGAGGACACTTTCTGTGGGGCTCAGAGTTGCAGACCCAGGCAGGTTTATCCCTTCCCTGCAGCTTAGGCTGGCCTCTTCTGCTTCTCACTCAGGGCTTGAGCAGAAACCTGTTGTTTCAGGAGCCAGTGACCTTTGAGGACGTGGCTGTGTACTTCACCCAGAATCAATGGGCCAGTCTGGACTCTGCGCAGAGGGCCCTGTACAGGGAGGTGATGCTGGAGAATTATGCAAATGTGGCTTCCTTGGGTAAGGTCTCTCTGATAGTTTAATGTCTTCCTCAGATGTTTTGGGGATTCTAGTAACTCTTAGGTTTGATGCCTCCAGAGGAGAGTTCTGTAATCACCAGCTTGGGGAGATGCTAGGTAGGGAAATCCCTGGTTCCCTTTGGTTTCAAACCTGGACTTCCATGCACCCCAGGGAAGGGTATGGTTCTGGATCCTGAGGGAAAGGACTCTTACTGCCCCTGTAGGTGAGCCCTTCCAGTTTTCTGGGGATGTTGGTCCTCCTCTTTGGGGAGGGGTCTTCCAGGGGAGCAGTACATACCTTGTTCCTGAGGGAGTTTCCCTCTTGTAAATCAGGGGCAGATTGTAAGGTTTCTTTCTGAGGAGAATCCTATCTCCCTGGCTTCATTGTGGACCAACAGTTTGGACCCTTTCCTTAGAACACTCTCGGTAGTTCACTTGGTCTCCTGGGTGTTCTGTTTTCCTCTCAACTAGCCCAGTGGAGGGTGGGCTGAGAGAGGTCTTAGAACAGCCCTGGATGTCTCCCCTCAATTTGTCTGTCTTTTTTTCTTCCTGAAGTAGCATTTCCATTTCTCAAACCTGTTCTGATCTCCCAGCTGGAGAAAGGGGAAGCACCATGGGGTCCAGATCCCTGGGACACAGAGGTTCTGAGCAGCATCAGTCCAGGTGAGTAAAAGGATCCAGCCATTGTGTTTCTTCTTTTGTCTTCCTGTACTATGTAAGAAGTTATTTCTTCTGCCACAGGGAACCAAACTCCCCGTCATTTATAAGGCAATACTGGGTGCACTTTCTGACCTCCCACTGTGTTCCTACCCTAATCCTGGAAAAAGCACTTATAGGTGTGCATGTCCCCACACTGTCCTCACAGTCATGTCACTGCCCTCCTAAGCAGGAAACTACGACTCAGTAGCTCCTAAACCACCACTTCTCTTCTCACTTGCCAGTGGAAAATTAATTTTGTGCCATTTTTCATTGCAAAGAAATGGGATTTCAGCCAACTTTAAGTATGTGAGTTAAACTGATTTATTTGTGCCACAGCTATGAATTTGACTTTTAGGCCTTCAGCAACAAAAAGAGTGACTTTAATTTGCTCTTTTGGTATCTAAGTCACTGAAATGTTCCATTTGCCATAGTGTTTATATCTGCATTGTATTTGTCGTAGATGGGACTGTAGAGGAAAAGGCTAGGAATATTCTCCCAACACACACATACACACACACACACACACATATACACAGCACCTAAAATTAACCTGAACTGGCTTACCAGTTTTGGAAGGTTTTGATTACTTAGATTTTCATTTCTCTTGGAAGAAAGTTTCCAAGCCTTTCTTCTCACACACGCTGTGATTTTGTATGTCATGATTTCTTTAGCACTGGTACCACAGTGGCCTACAGTTCTCTGGCCAACTTCTGTTCCAGCTGACTCTCTGAAAAATCATTTTTTTATCATGTGGAATATTTAAAAATAGATTGATTAGGACAGTATTTTGAATTTAGGGTGGTTTCCTGGATCACAGGCATTGGGATCCATTTTTTTTTCTGGTTTGTGTTTCTTAGTCTGTGAGACCTCTTATAATGCTAGAGCTATTCCTCTACTCTTCCCAGTCTCTTATCTCTTTTTCCTTTTATGGGTCTCTGTCTCTTTTAAAATTTTTTCTATTTCTTGCTAATCTTTCTTACCTCACTCATTCTTTCTTTCTTTCTTTTTTTTTTTTTTTTTTTTTGAGACAGAGTCTCACTTTGTTGCCCAGGCTAGAGTGAGTGCCGTGGTGTTAGCGTAGCTCACAGCAACCTCAAACTCCTGGGCTAAAGCGATCCTGCTGCCTCAGCCTCCCGAGTAGCTGGGACTACAGGCATGCGCCACCATGCCCGGCTAATTTTTTCTATATATATTAGTTGGCCAATTAATTTTTTTCTATTTATAGTAGAGATGGAGTCTCGCTGTTGCTCAGGCTGGTTTTGAACTCCTGACCTTGAGCAATCCGCCCACCTCGGCCTCCCAGAGTGCTAGGATTACAGGCGTGAACCACTGCGCCCGGCCATCTCACTCATTCTTTCTTCTTCCTCCCTCATTTCCTTCTCATTCTTGAGGTTCTCCTTTTTCCCATCTTAGCTGTCTTAGTTCATTTCCCAGCTTTCCTTACAGGGGCACTCCTGGCTGTCTTTCCTGGTCTGTTTCTGTGTCTTCACTTCTCCAGTTGTATGTCATTATTTTTCTTTGTCTCTCTGATCCTCCTTTATGGATGTTTGTAGCCATTTCATGGGCATATATTTAAAAATCACATTCTACAACAGAAAATTAGGACCACTAAACTCTGTTGTTTTCCTTTTAGTTCAGTAACTAGGAATATTTGTGGTTTCTCTGGTCAGGTGACATGTCCTGGATCATGAAGGAAGAGCCAGTTATAAAGCAGGAAGCCTCTGAAGAAACAGAGTTGCACAGAACGCCAGTAAGAGGACTTCGCAGAAATGGTTCTCAGCACTTTGATTTTAAAAGCAAGGCAGTGAGGCAGACTTTCAGTCTAAATCCAAATCTGATACTTCGAGGTGGAATGAAGTTCTATGAATGTAAAGAATGTGGGAAAATCTTCAGATATAACTCAAAGCTTATTCGGCACCAGATGAGTCATACTAGAGAAAAGCCCTTTAAATGTAAGGAATGCGGCAAAGCCTTCAAGTCCAGCTACGACTGTATTGTACACGAGAAAAACCACATCGGAGAAGGGCCTTACGAATGTAAGGAGTGTGGCAAAGGCTTGAGCTCCAACACAGCGTTGACTCAGCATCAGAGGATCCACACTGGAGAGAAACCCTATGAATGTAAGGAGTGTGGAAAGGCTTTCCGTAGGAGTGCGGCATACCTTCAGCATCAGAGATTACACACCGGGGAGAAACTCTATAAATGTAAGGAATGTTGGAAGGCTTTTGGTTGTAGGTCACTTTTTATTGTCCATCAGAGAATACATACTGGAGAGAAACCCTACCAATGTAAGGAGTGTGGCAAAGCCTTCACTCAGAAAATAGCCTCCATACAGCACCAGAGAGTCCACACTGGGGAGAAGCCTTATGAATGTAAGGTGTGTGGGAAAGCCTTCAAGTGGTATGGAAGTTTTGTTCAACATCAGAAATTGCACCCCATGGAGAAGAAGCCTGTCAAGGTTCTTGGGCCATCTCTGGCCAGTCCGCAGTGCTCCTCTTCAGCCTTATCTCCTGTTCTTCTCCAGGGGTCATGCTCTGCTCCAGCCATGGCTGTGCCTTCTCTCACCTTTCCACATGCTGTGCTCATTCCTACCTCTGGGCCTTTGTTCATGCTGCTGCCTACATCTGGAATACCTTCTTCCCCTGCCCAAATAGTACATGTCTTCCAGAGTTATACTCCCACTGTGAAGCCTGCCCCGATTATTCTGACCCCTTTTCACCCCTCATGAGCTTTATCTTGGCACTCCCATGGCTCCTACCCAACAAATCTTCAACCTAATTTGAGTTTCATTTGTATTTTTCCCCCACCTTAAATTCGTTGCAACTTTTTCAGCATAGATGTCATTGTAATCTATATATGTTTAAAGATTGTGTTTATATAATATATTCTCTTCTTCTGGGTAGAAAATGGAAATACTTAACCTTTGAATTGGTCCCTTTCAGGCTTGAGCAACAGGGGCTGTGTCTGCATCGTAGGGTTGCTGGTATTAGAAGTGCTGAGAAGACACTTTAATGTGTTAGTGAAGTTTGGGAAGGAGGATATCCTTGGACTAGGACATTGTGATTAGAGAGAAGCAACCTGGGAGAAACAGCAAGACCTGTGGGAGCAGAGAATTGGAATAAGTTTCCAGCAGTGGACTTTAGAAATTAGTGCAGATTGTTTAGTGAGCCAATGGTTAGGTGGTATGTTAAAGTTGTATTGCCCTTGGCATGGGTCATTGAGGATCCCAAACATCTATGCAAAAGATAATGTGAAATAAACAGTAAAAGAAAAAAGTATGCGTCGATAGCAATCATTTACATGATTGATAGCAATCGTGTTCAGTCACATCTTTAACCATGAAAGGGTTTTTTTCTTGAGTTTTGTTCTTGATATCGCGATGTTGCCTTTAACTTTTGTTTCCTAAGTAAATATACACAAAGGTATTTATCTTTGTTGCATCTGTTGTGTAAATTTTTCTTCGTGGGCATTCTGTTTTTCTTTTTGGGAGCACTGACTTTTATATTTTATTTTCTTCAGATAGCCTGAATTGTAAACATGAATTTGGTGAATTACTAAACAAAGAAAAGCAATGGTATAAAGCCAAGTTGGGGGAAATATGAATAAGCCTCCAAATTGATTTTTAGAAATAAAGTGGGACAGTGGTTAGGCTTATGTGGTGGGTTAGTGAAGGGGAATTTTTGGGTTGCTCTTGGTATTGGCCTTGATGAGAATCCTTTACAACTGTGCAAAAGATGATGTGAAGGAGTTACTAGAAGAAACTTGAACTATGCATTTATTAGCACTAATATAAATGTAAGTCTTAAACATTGATGGAAGCGTCCATACATTTTTTTCTCTTGTGCTGCTGTTGCTATCTAGATGTTTTTCTATAGCAATTAATAAAAAAACCTTTACATTCTTGTTTTTTAAATTTTACCATATGTCCAAGTTACCTGGTATGCTTACAAAATAGTTTTCTGGCCTAACTTCTGGAAATTCTGATTTTGGCTATCTGTGGTGATGGCCAGATCTTAAGTGTGGATCATACTTTGAGAGATAATGCCTTAAACAGAAAAGGGCTATGAACTGTTGGGAAGCACACATTGATAAACGATTTGGGAGGGACTGTGGATCTTCAGGAGAGAGACCTCTAAAAGTAGTTTGAGGCCGGGCGCGGTGACTCACACCTGTAATCCTAGCACTCTGGGAGGCCGAGGTGGGCGGATTGCTCAAGGTCAGGAGTTCGAAACCAGCCTGAGCAACAGCGAGACCCCTGTCTCTAGTATAAATAGAAAGAAATTAATTGGCCAACTAATATATATATAGAAAAAATTAGCCAGGCATGGTGGCGCATGCCTGTAGTCCCAGCTACTTGGGAGGCTGAGGCAGCAGGATTGTTTGAGCCCAGGAGTTTGAGGTTGCTGTGAGCTAGGCTGACGCCACGGCACTCACTCTAGCCTGGGCAATAGCGTGAGACTCTGTCTCAAAAAAAAAAAAAAAAAAAAAGTAGTTTGGGTAGTATCAATTTAGAAAAAGAGAGAAAACCAAGTGAAATATGGCATGTCAGGAAAGGGGCAGAAATCTGATGTGACCTGTGAAGAGTTCTTGAGGTGTATCCACTGTTAGAAGGTTTGTAGGGGTTGACATTGGCTACCTGTTGCTTGTTGGCTGAGGTAATCAGGATTTTTTTTTTTTCCACTATAAAGTTAGTACACTTCAAAATAACTCTTGGGTTAAAGAGTACAAAATAGATGCTAGAGATGATTTAGAACTGAACAACAGTAAGAATAGGACATAACAGAGTCTATGGGGTGTGGCAAAAGGTGGTCTTCAGAGCAATATTTACAATCTTAGATGCATTCTTTAGAAAATAAGAGTTTGAAAGCTTAATTTGGGAAGCTGGAGGTAGTGCTTGATGGTGGGAAACAAAATAAAAATTAAGCAAAAATGAAGGCAAAGAAACAAAACCCCAAATCCTAAAATAAACTTAGCAGAAATAAGATACACAATAGGGCTTTTGGGGAAGATGCTGGTTGAACTTGTGGATTAGCCTTCATGTCCTCCTGAAACCTCACTAAAACAGTTAAAGAGTAAAAGAAATAAACTCACGAGGACAGCAAAAGTAAGATGATGATAATACTTTGGAAGCTAGGAAGCAGATCAAAGAGTTCAAACTGTCAGCAGACCTGAGAACGATGAAGCCTAAGCTATATTGGAGGATGGTGAGCAGCCATCGTATATGGCAGAATTCCCAAAAAGGCTTAATAGTGTGGATTCAGGTAGCTCTGGAAGTAGGGGGTACTAGAGAGGCTAAGAACAGGAGACTTGGCTAAAAGTCTTTAGAAGTCACTTAGATTCTCAAGTTGCTTCCTTTGTCTCCATTCTCTGGAGCAGTAAAATAGGAATTTTGAAAGTCGGGGTACCACACTGAATCTTAGGTCCTTCTCCCTCACTCTCTAACCTTCTAGCCCTACATCTATCCAGAACACTGCCAACTAGACTTAGACTTCTTCTAGGCTGGAAATCAGAAGAACTTTCTTTGGGGAATCTGATCAAGTCAAAAGAAAAGACCAATGATACTAAAATCTCAGATTCCTCCAAAGAAATGGTTTTATTGAGAAGTTCTAGCTGTGCACACAGAGCTTCCAGGAAGCTTTTAAAAGCTTTAAATGCCATTCTTAGATATGAACAAATAGCTGAGGATATGAAAGAGGCTGAAGCAAGCAAAAAAACAAAACAAAACAAAAAAAACCTACTTGAAGGAAACAGGCTATGTAAAAAGAAAACTTAAAAATCCTAGAATTAGTGAAGATATTTGCATCCATGTAACAATACCATGTTATAAAAAAGGAAAATTCAGAGGAGAAAAAGAATTCTAAAAATCTAAAGTTTCATATCAGAAATGAGACACTCAGTATAAACATTGGAAAACAAAGTCAAGGGAATCACCCAGAGAGTGTAACAAAAAGAGGTGAAAGCAAAGGGAGGTCTAGTATATGTGGTGTGACAGTGGGATGGGTATTAAAAAGAGAAAAATGTAGAAATTGGAGAGGAGGAAATCATCAAAGTAACCGTTCAAGGAGATTTCCCAGAATTGAAGGCAAGGGCTCCATGCCTTCATCAGCACGGGTCAAGAGGAAGCCCCAGGTGCTTGGAGTAAAGCTACCTCTCCTCGGGCCTCTACTGGCAGAAATGAAGAGGAAAGCTCCAAACCATGCCTCTTCATATTATCCTCCAGTCTCAGCCTTCCCACCATTGAGACTATCAGGACAGAGTCAACATGCCCTTTTTGTTCATCTCAGGTACCACAAGGAGCCCTGAATTCCCAGGATGACCCCCACCTCCTGTGAATTTAATCCCCTGCATCTCTGTCCATTCTCCTTTCTGTCTTCATCTGTTACCTGTCTCCAACTCCTGGCCACTTTTTATTCAGCCCTGTGCCACTGACAATCCATTGCTAACAAAATTCCTTGTATCCTCAACATCTCTGATCGTTGCCCATACCTTCTTCCTCTAACCAAAACCCGCCGTCCCTTGAGGATACCGCTTTCCTGGAACCCTTTGAAATGGTGGTTATTTTTCTTCACACTCCTAAATATCAGACGTCTTGAATCCTCTTTGTTTTTCTTTGGAATCTTCATACCATCAGGCTGTCCTACCTAACCTTTGGGTCACACCCCTCATTCCTTGAAGATTTCCCCTTAGGCCGACTGTCAATCTCTTCATTTCCTTCTTACCTTTTTTTTTTTTAAACAACTCCATATTTTGCTTTTTTATTTAATATTATATGAGAAACATTGGCTTATGTTTATACATGGAATAATAGTTTAATCGATACCTAATATAATTACTTAGAGAATCATATGTTTTTAATCATTTCTCTATTTTGACAGTGTTTATTGATACCTTAATAATGTCAGTATCTTCTTTTTTAATGAATTGTAACAAAAAGGGAAATGATTTTAACACAAGGCACTTTTAAGACTTATAATACATAGAAGACACAGAACTATAATAAATTTCCCCCAAGTGGTAACCATCTGTAATTTTACTGACAGTACAGATAAAATTCCCAGTTTATCTTGACACTGGCTTGAGTAATAATATTTAAAATTTTTTTTTCTGTCTTATAAGGTATACTTCAGAATTGCTGCAGTTTACATCTCTTTCACTATAACTAAATATGAGCTTTGCTCCTGTTCTTGTTTTTTTATTATCCTTTTTTATTAAATCTGAAAAAAAATATAAAACCAGATTTGGCAGCATTTTTATCAACAATTAAAATAGGTTAAAACCAATACCATCTGAAAAGATGGTTCAAATTTATAAGAAAAAGATAAAGCTCCCCCTTACCTTTACTGAGATGTAATTAACTTAAAATTGTATATATTCAACATAACACTTCTGTCTTCTTGGTGATTTCAATAGATGATCTGTCCAATATCACTGTTATTTATTTTTGGTCTTTCATATTACCTCAACCTCTCACTCCTTTGATCATATCCTGGGTCTTGTTATTGCCAAACACTTCACCCCCTCTGTAATGTCACCACTTTAAATATCTTGCTCTATGACCTGTCTTTCCAATTTATTCCCTTAGAGTCCTGATGCTAAAAGTCCTTCACTTCCATTGTTCCTCCTTTTTTGTTTTCACTTCCCATGTGCTTGTCCTTTGCCTCTGTCACGCCCATCTGTCCTTCTTCCATCTGTCCATCCAGCTTAAATTCCATGGTCAATTCTTAAGTGATTCCCACACAGTCTCCCTTAACTCCTTTGCTCTTTTGCTTTGTCATGCTCACTTGACAAAACCCCGTCTCTGACTACATTCAATTCTTTGCCCTCTCTGTTGCTGCACCCTTGCCACCGAAGGTGATCAGGAAAAGACATGCTATTAATACCATGCTGAGTTGTCTCACTTTAAATTCACGACCAGTAACTCCAAGTAGGCCCTTAATGCTTCCTGGCGGTCATAGTGCATGTCTGGAGTCCACTTAACTTTCCCGTTTCCTAGGCTACTACTTTATACCTTCTTCCTTCTTAAACCTCCAACACCTCCTCCTCGGTTCTCATACTCAGCTGATGATTGTGTTTCTGCCCTCTCCTGGAGAATAGCAAGCTGCCGAAAGTGGCTCTGCCTTCAGCCCAGTGCCGGAATGAGAAGACACATGGAGCCAATTTGGGCCCCCAAGTGCTGTGGCCACTTTGTCTCACTCATCTACTTTTCAGCTTGCAATATCGGATCCTTCACCACTATATTCTCAGTCAGTTCCACTAAGCAAGTCCACCTTTTAAAGATTCTGTCACACTCAGTAACCCACTTCTGGTTCCCAATTCTGTGTGAGTATTAACTTGTGACAGCAGAATTCACTTTGGTTTAAGCTGAAGGGGATTTTCCACCTACTATTAATTGTCTTACAAAATTTCTAAGAGGGGACTAAGCTGGGATGCCACATAGGTGGAAGCCAGGAAAAATGACCAGCCATAGTACCAGTGGAAACCCAGTAGCTGATGGTGCCTGCCACTGGACTGCCACCCCCACTGAAGAGGGACTGGACCGCCAGGAGGTTTGCTTCATATTCTGGAGAAAAAGAAAATACCCCCACAATCATTTTGGCAGGAGACTCTAGGATCTTATGATCTTTACTTCTATCTTCTGCAAGGGTGTACCTGTTTAGTGAAAGTTAGTTATATGTGTATGTCCAATTGGCAGGGGCTTCTGGGAAATACAGTGTTTGGATGTTAGCTAGAAAAGTGAGTTGTAATGTAGAGAGGTCCTAAAGTTAGGAAGGGATTTCAAGATATTTTGGATAGATACAAATGATCAGATATCTATCATAGGCATTGAAGATGACCTAAATGACTGAAAGATGCACTATATTCATGGATAGGGAAGATCCATATCAAGATTTTAATTTTTGTCTAATGAATTTATAAAT